CAAAAATGTGTGTATCAGTTTGGCTGGGCCATGATTCCCAGTATTGTGTGATTGTCCACCATTGTGTCATCTGGTGTGATTTTCCTATGTGTTATAAATCCTGCCTCTATGATGTTAATGAGGGGGGATGGGCAGCAGCTGTGTTGATGAGGCAGAACTCAATCTACGGGATTGGACTGTGTCTTGAGCCGGTTTCTTTTGGGATATAAAAGAGAGAAGCAAGCAGGGAGACGGAGGGACCTTATACCACCAAGAAAGCAGTGCTGGTAGCAGAGCACATCCTTTGGACCTGGGGTTCCTGTGCGGAGAAGCCCCTAGTCCAGGGGAAGACTGATGAGAAGGACCTTCCTCCAGAACCAAGAAAGAGAGAAAGCCTCCCCATGGAGCTGATGCCCTGAATTTGGACTTTTAGCCTACTTTCCCATGTTGGTTCAGGCTCACAGTGACCCTTTGTACAAAAGAACTAAACCGCCCAGTTCTGCGCCATCCTCACAATCTTTCTATGTTTGAGCCCATTGTTGCAGCCTCTGTGTCAATCCATCTTGTTGAAGGTCTTCCTCTCTTTCACTGACCCTCTACTTTATCAAGCATGATGTCCTTCTCCAGGAAATGGTCCCTTCTGATAACATGTCCAAAGTACTCAAGACAAAGTCTCGCCATCCTCGCTTCCAAGGAGGATTCTGGCTGTACTTCTTCCAAGAGATTTGTCTGTTCTCCTGGTAGTCCATGGTATATTCAGTATTCTACCACAATGCAATTCAAATGCATCAATTCTTCTTTGGTCTTCCTTATCCATTGTCCAGCTTTTGCACGTACATGAGGTGACTGAAAATTCCATGGCTTGGGTCAGGCGCACCTTAGACCTCAAAGTGACATCTTTCTTTGCTTTTGAACACTTTAAAAGAGGTCTTTTGCAGCAGATTTGCCCAATGCAATGTGTCATTTGATTTCTTGACTGCTGCTTCCCTCAGCATTGAGTGTGGATCCAAGTAAAATGAAATCCTCGACAATTTCAATCTTTTCTCCATTTATCATGATGTTGCTTATTGGTCCAGTTGTGAGGATTTTTGTTTTCTTTATGTTGAGGTGTAACCCATACTGAAGGCTGTGGTCTTTGATCTTCATCAGTAAGTGCTTCAAGTCCTCTTCACTTTCAGCAAGTGAGACTGTGTCATCTGCATAATGCAGGTTGTTAACGAGAGTGTTCCTTCAATTCTGATGCGGTGTTCTTCTTCATATAGTTCAGTTTCTTGGATTATTTGCTCAGCATACAGATTGACTAAATATGGTGAAAGGAAATAACCCTGACACACACTTTTCCTGATTTTAAAACATGCAATATCCACTTGTTCTGTTTGAATGACTAACTCTTGGTCTAGGTTCTGCATGAGCACAATTAAGTGTTCTGAATTCTCCTTCTTCACAATGTTATAGTTTGTAAAACCACTAATGATATTAAACTAGTGATTATTTTAATAAATTATTAAAATACATTCTGTCTAGAAAAGAGAAGCAATGGAGTATCATATCTGTATTAGTTATCTATTGCTGTGTAACAAATTACTCCAAAATTTAGGAGATTAAAACAACAAATACTTGTTATATCACATTTTCTGAGGTCAAAAATATCCGAATCTCAGAATCAAGAATCTCAGAGCTTAGCTAAATGGTTCTGGCTCAGGGTTTCTCATGAGGTTGCAGTTGAGTGTCTGCCAGGGCTGCAGTTATCTGAAAGCTTGACTGGGCTGAAGGATCTTTACAAGGTTGCTGGCAGGAACTTCTGTATAAGTCTGCTCACAACATATAGCAGCCAGCTTCCCCCAGAGTGAATGATCAAAGAGAAAGGGAGTGTAAGAAGGCAACCAAAATGCTGAAAAGTGTCTTTTATAACCTAATCTTAGAGGTGACATACTATCACTTTTCCTCTATTGTATTGGCCACATACACCAACTTTGGTTCTGGGTAGGGGGAATTACACAAGAGTGTGAATGCCAGCAGGCAGGGATCACTGCAGGCCATCTCAGAAGCTGCCTACTACAATACCTAACCTTATATTGGAAAACAAACTCCAGAAAATCGATTATTTTTTCAAAAGAATGTAAAAAATTCAATCCTGTACAATTATTAGCCCCAAATTTGTCACGGTAAACAAACAAACTTGAGGTATTGACTATGCACTGGGAAAGAAAAAACTTGGTTCACACATTGCATAAAGTGAGTTCGATTAATTCCATTGCGTTCTCAGGATCATTGAACCTTTCAAATCTTTCATTAAAATGACGTCTGTTTAAAGGGTTCTTCATTTTTGCTGGTTGGAAATGGCTTCCTCAGAATGAACATTTTCAATCAGATCTGGTTTCTTTAAAATTTCAGAAGTTAACATTAACAAGAATCCTTGAAAGTGAGTTTCTGTAAGTTTTGGTCCAGTTTAAGTCATAGGCTCCTCTAACATTGCCTGAACACTGAGCTATATTTGGGGATTTGGCATACAGAGGGTCTGTCTTGGATTAGGTCTCAAAATACCTAAAGTATTTCCTTAAACAGGCCCAGTGTCAGATACAACAGGTGCATCACTTCTAATTTTGGAACCAGAAGCAGCCAGTTTAGAGTGGTGCTGTTCTGCACTCATCCAGCAGGAATGAGGATAATAAGTAATTTTGTACTACATCAAGTGTAAGAGACTAGAATGATGTTATCCTTCTATTACTTCTGATAACCACGTTTTTACAAGTTAACATGGAATTTTGATGAATACTGATAAAGGCCTCTGTTTTCTTCATATTTAATAATTCATTTTTAAAAAATATTGAAAGTGGACCTCAGTTCTAGGCTCTATACTAGAATACTTATAGCTTGTTTAAATGATCATGTCCATTTTTATTTTGATTATCCTATTGTCAGTGAATTAAATTTTTGCAATGGAAAATAAAGACATTCTAGAATTAATGATGCACTTGGTTTCCTTTTCTTTTCAAAGGAATTCTAGGGCTTTAGAAGATGGTGATATTACTTTATTAATACAATATATATGTCAGCACATTTAAATAGGATTAAAATATGGATAAGCCTTAAAATGGAAAATATGCTTCAAACACTATCAGTCACTCAGAAATGAAATTATTGTGTCATATAACAGTGAGAAAAGCTTTTTATTTGAATGTTTTAAAAATTTAAGCAATGTAATCATGACATTTCAAATACATACTAATTTCAAATGGTAAATGTTAAAATGTGAAATCCCTGGAAATACAAGTTTCTATTATATCCCACAATATTCAGAAATGCAACCTTAGCATGATACAAACAGTAGATTTTCTATAAATACATACTGAATACGAGATTATCTTCAGAAGGAATATTAAAATAAATGTTAGGAAAGGCATGGTTTTCTTTTGGCATAGCAGAAAGTGTTGCTTATAAAAGTAATGATACAAAATCTACTCATTTTAGAAATTCAGTTTTTAAGCTCTACAGTTTAGATATTTATTTTGAATTCCTCTGTAGGTTTAAAAGGAAAGGCTGTTTAAAATTTTTTTTAAAAAAGGGCAAGTCTTGTAAATAGTAGTAATATTTGACAATTTTTAAAAAATAGATTGGAATGAGAAATATAGGCAATGTAAATATATATAAAGAAAAGCAACAGGTTTGACCTGAAGCTAGGTTTTTCTAAAAGTGATTCCAAAGTGTTTATATCTCTACAACATGTAAAAAATTTAATACTGGGACAAGGAAATTCTATCATTTAGTTCCAGATAACGGTAGGATTCTCTGAAAACAGCACAATTTGAGATAGAATCTTTAAAGGTTAAGAAATCAAATTAAAAGCTCCAAGGAAAGTGAATGTACAACTAATTGCTTGTACCGAAAGTACTGAATATAAATTTCTAAAATAGAATTTCAGTAATTTATGCTGGACTCACCCCATCAGGCCTGCCTTGCCCCCATTCCAAAGCGCTTATTTGACCACCCATCTAAACCCACACCAACTTTCCATTTTTCCTTTCTTCTCCCTCCTCCCACCTGACCTCAACACTGGAGTAGTTCCTATGATTAACCATGTATTTAAAGGAGGACACCAGATGTTGCTGTATTTTAGAAAAATAAAATTCTGGCGTCACAAAAGTGTGCTGGATAAATTCCGCGTTCTAAAGTATAACCTGGTTTGGCCAATTCTCTTGAGCCGATTGGAAGGTGAGCAGGAAACCACAAACACTCTCCGAGCTCACAGCAAGTCCCGGAACCCATATCAAGCAGTTATAAGATGAAATCTTTAAGAATAAAATAATTCTTTTTCTGACCAGCGACTTCTCTTTGTACTGGAGTGGGCAGCTACAGTGAAAGGGTGAACAACAGTGTCATCATCTCCTATAGTGCGTGAGCTGTATTTCTAGTTTCTAATAGTAATCAGCAGCCTATGGCTGATTTATGGACAGCGTGTGTCGTTCGGCACGGTGCCAGTTCCAGGAACCCGAGCCAATTAGCTCTATTTTCTGCCTAAACCGTTAAAACCACCTCCACGGAAACGCCAGGGGCGCCGGCGGGGGGGAGGGGAGCAGACAGGTGCGCCCTCTGGAAATACACAAAGGGCCGACATTGCCGCCCCTGTGTCCCAGGCAACTCCACGCACACAGGCCAAGCGCACGTGCCGAGGCCTCGCGGCGCGGTCGGCGGCCTGGCAGCGCGCGGACGCCGCCGCGCGTCGGCTTGCGGAGACCCTCGGCCTGCTCGCGGACGCGGTGCCCGGGAAGCTCGCTGCGAGCGGCGGCGGCAGCGGCGCCCCGACTGTAGGGACTTGTAGTCCGCCTGCCTCCCCGGCACCGCCCCCGGGTAGGTCACCTCGCGCGTCCCGCCCTCCGCAAGCCGACTTCCTGCCGCGGTCAAAACTACACCTCCCGCCGTCCTCTCTGCTGTCGGGCCGAAAGCGAAAACAAATTCTCGGCTGCGAGGGTGCTGCCCTGCGCCGGGCGCCTTCTCCTACTCCCCGCCCCTCTGGCGCCCTCCCGTGAAGTGGGGAAACGAAAGGCCGCTTCTTTCTCTTTTGGTTTCCTCCGCTCCAGAGTGGGTAGCCGGCGGGGGACGCAGGCCTCGCTTCGCCTCCGCCAGCTTAGCACGCGCGCCGGGAGTGGGGGTTTCCTCGCCTCACAGCAGTCGGGACAAGCAAACTTGTAGGGGCGGCGAACCCCCGGCCCAATGCCTGAGCCGGGCCGCGAGGCCACGGGGAAGTGACTTCTTACTCTCGGTTTTTTTTTTTTTTCTCTTTCCTTTGGTTCTTCCCGGTGAGTGGTTCCTCTGGGAAGGCGGCCGCGTGCGGACAGCCATGCATTAGGCAGGCCTCCCCTATGCGCCCGGAAAAAGCGGACCTGTGCCTCGGGCCGCTGCCTCCTGCCGCCGCCCGCAGAGCCGGAGCCGCCGCCTGCCCTAGGCCGGGGCGTCGAGGAGCCGGCGGCGCAGCCATGTGGGGTTAGCCCGCGCAGCGCCTGGGCTGCAGTGGGACCGGCAACATGGAGGCGACCGTCTGCGCCCCCGACGGCGGGGACCAGGGCGGCACGGGGCCCTGCGAGGACGCGACGCTCATGGACGCCTATCTGCGGAAACTGGGCTTGTATCGGAAACTGGTCGCCAAGGACGGATCGTGCCTGTTCCGGGCCGTGGCGGAGCAGGTAATTTGGCGGGGACCGTGGGGTTAGCGAGTTCAGCCCCGCGGGGCGGCGGACAGCGGGTCTGGGTGGGAAGCGGCGGGGGGCAGTTGTCCGGGCGGCCCACGTCCCGGGCGCGCGTGGACCCGCTGTCGTCACAGCGGCCCATTGTAACGACGGAATGGGACCCTGAAAGGTGCAAATCGAAACTTTAAAACGTGAAGTAACTGGGTGGTGTTCCTCCTGGTAAAGAGATAATGAGTTGAAGGCAATTTGAGAGGCCTGCGCTGAGCGTGTAGTTGATTGATTGGTAGGGACTTGGCGAAATGATATTTTTCAATTTTGTTCCTCATTCGCTTTTCCTTCGTTTCATAAGGACAGCGTGCTCACCAGTAAATCAGGTGTTTCCTAGAGGAGGTGGTGCACCAAACTTTAGTCGTGAACATATTTTTCCTCCTTCTGAACTTTGGAGTGTGGGGTAGTCAGCCACGCAGATGTCACTTGAATCAAGAAGGCAAAATATGCAGTTTAGGAAAGCCAGTCTTTTAAAAAATGTGGTATTTTTAAAGAATTGCCTTTACTAGGTCCTACACCTTATTATTTTCTGCAAGTCAGAATTTGCTCATTTTTTGAAGTCTGTTGTATTAGTAGGAAGGTTCTCTAGGCCCTTCTTGACCGGATTTTTCACTCTTAATGATCGAAACCACTTTCTAACGTAGTTGCTTAGGAAGGTATTTCTTATTTTTTGAGAGAGCGTATACTGGTATATAACTCTGTGTCATAGTAGGTATGTAGTAACCAAAGCCCATCTTATCTTGAAAGATAGCTACTGAAGTAGTTGAATAAAGGTTCTCATTCCTGCCCTGCTGTACATCTTTTTACCTTTCACAGTTTGCTCTTCTTTGGCTTGAGAGCCATCCTTGTCCTCCTCCACCATCGTCCTGTCCTGTCGCCCCCTACCCTCTTTATGATGATGTTTTTCTCACCTGTTCTGAATGCTAAATAGCTTTTAGAGTTTATTTGTGAGTAAATAGTTTACTTAATGAACTTCTGGAGACCAGTCTATCATTATTTCAGACTTCAAAAAGCCAGTCTCATTTGGTTTCCGAAGGCCCTTGTTTTTACAAAATCTTTTTTTTTTTAAAACAAGAAATGGATTTAAGAGGTAGGAACCTTTGACATTAGGTTGCAGGCATTGTCAATTAAACTTTCTTCCTAAAGCTCCCCAAACCAAGCTCTGTCTTTTTCAGTTCTATTAGATTTCTCTCAGTTTCAGAAACGCGGGATGTTGCAATGTTGCTGTGGTGTGTAGAGACACACACACACGCACGTACACGCACACACCAGTGCTTACTACTAGTAGGTAAACAGACTGTACTGTTTTTGAATTTTCTGGATTTCCATCTGTCTTACTTCCTCTGCCTCAATCTCCATAGACCCCACAGCACCTCCAGAAACAGAAAAAAAGCCCTTATTTATACATACTGTTAGCTCTAGCAAGAATCTGGTAAGCAAAGAGATAGAAACTGATAGAGAAAAAGGAGGTTTGGAGCTTATTTGGAGTTGGATTATCCAAGCCCTTATTTATATTGAAGCAGAAAGGTGTGTCTGATTACAGTATTATGTGCTGTAGATGTTTGCCAGTCTTGATCATCCAGTAGCTTCTTACAAGCATACATTTTAGTAGAAAGGGATCTATAGGTACATATTTTAGTAGAAAGGGGCACCAACTAATTATAGTAGGTACTCATTGCTAACATCCGATAACATATATCTAATGTATCTTGTTCTGATGGGATTTAGGTTAGGCATAAGGGAATACCTCCAATTATGCGACTGTGATTGTTAGTATACTGTGCTTGAGGAGCTCAATACCATGAGCTTTGTAGTGAAGCTGAGTTCTTCAGTAGACGTGGACTAAGGGTGTAGCCATCATACCCAAAGGCCAAGTGTGCGTGGGAGAAGGGAGGTAACACCGACTTCAGGCTCTCCTTTCAAAATGTGTACAAAGGAGTTATTTTTTTGCCAACAATTTCGTCTATAAAATCAATATAAATATTCCTCATTTCTAAGAAGGAGTTAGAGTAAGTAATCTAAATGGCAGTCTTTAGAGACTTGAGTAGTCAGTCTTTCCCTCCAAATTACCTGATTTAGATAGCCCCTTCCCTTTTTACGCTTGTAGACTTGGGCTTGCAGGAGGCCTGACCTGAATCAGCTCCACAGTCTTGGAGCTAAAAATAGGACACTCTTAGAGGATCTGCTAAAGCAGTGTGTTTCTGCCTTTCCCAGTGTTTATCACTATATTGTATAGATTATATATTACGCACAAGGTGGGAAAGCTGCCTAGTTCTAGCTTCTTTTCATGTATGTCGTAGTTGGCAAAGATAGGTATTTGTAAAACCATTTAAATTCCTCCTGCGTGACCTTGAACTTGTACAATAATTTACTTTTTAAAAATGGTTATTTAACTTCTTTTGCAGTGCATGATTTTATAGATAACCACTACTCCACCGTTTGTGGAAGTTGCTGAGAGGTTTGCTTCTGAGTAACAGGTTCAGATTCTATATGCTAAATCTTTGTTAAAAGAAGAGAAAAAGCAAGAGATATGCCTGCCATTGTTTTGGTGGAAAATAAATTTTACTGACTTATGTCTGCCACCTGTTGCTAGGTAAATGGCTTTAAGACCAGCTTCACTTTGCTAACTGCAGGAAAGCCCTATCAGATGACACTGGTTTACTCAAATTAATACCTTGATTCATAATAGTGTGTAGCATAGCTTCTATGAAAGAAATGTTGCTTAATGTTGTTTGTTGAATTGGCAATCAAATCAGTACTGTGGTTATCTTTATATATATAGTGTTAATAGTGTCTCAAGACAGCAATGAAAGTACACTCAGTTAAACTGAAAAGTGGCTAGTATACTGAAAACAGACTCATTGCTAATATCAGCCAGAGCATCTTCAGTGTGTCTCAGTGTATTTGGACATACTTTGAGCCTGTGCTCCTGTGAGTATAAATGAGCCTTGGCTGTTATCCAAAGAGAGATATGAAATGTGCAGCTGGAGCCCCTTTTTCTGAAGTCTCTGCTCACTCTGAACATAAGGGAGAATCACTCTTAAAGCTACTTTCTATTAATATAAATTCTCAAGAGATTTTGGTAGTAGTTTGAGATGTAGTTACTTCTAAGTGTGTCAGATTTTTTGTTTTTTAATTTTGACCCGTGAGGGTGCCAGGAACACCTTCATTTGAGACACCTAGTAATAGAAAAGAATTTTAATCTCCTCTTTTAAGCGGGAAATTTCAGGGACTAGTCAAAGGCTTTCTAAATATTTGATAAGAAATAGTAGTTTGTTTCAAACCAAAGCTTTAGAATTTCAGTAAAAGACAAAATGCCAGTAAGTTGTCCTTTTGTTGAACTAGTTGTTTAACAAAAGAATACAGAGGCTACAACATGAGAGGATCTGGGTCACACTTTTTAGGGTGACTCTTTCAGGTGGTGCTTTAAGATTTGGGGCATAAAAACAAATCTGAAGAATTTTGAGATGACAGCACACGGCAGCCTGTGTGCATCCTGTGGGCTGCTCACTTGGTTCATTCAGAGATTTTGTAAGCTTAATAATTAAGGGTTTGAGAATGAATTCTTTAATTTTTCTGAAATCATGGTACACTTAAATTTCGACATAAGGTCACTACCAAACCAAACCCAACCCACTGCCATCAAGTCGATTCCAACACATAGCGACCCTGTAGGACAGAGTAAAATAGTCCCATAGGGTTTCCAAGGAGCAGCTGGTGGATTCAAACTGCCGACCTTTTGGTTTGCAGCCGAGCTCTTAACCACTGTGCCACCAGGGCTCCTTTTTCAACAAGCATAAGATGAGGTTAAGCACTGCATAGCAGAGATAGTGTTAGCCCTGCTTTGTGAGGCGAAAGGTTAGAATAGAGGGTTGGCCAAGAGAAGAAGTTGTCTTAAGTTTACAAAGATTTCCTCAAAGGAGTGATTTCAATGACCTGAAGGAAAAATGGTAATAGGGTCTTTATGGCATGACATCTGACTTAAGAAGTGCTACTGCTGATGAGTTTGTATATGTCATATCATTACTGTGATAAGAGGAAGAGTTGGAAAAGAATTAGAAATTATAGAAAGGGAAAGGGAGGGCCTGGTATCTACTGGTTGTTGGTTATTTTGGGTGTGAAAGAAGGCAGCTTGATTGTAACCTAAATCCACTTCTAACAAAAATGCTTAATAGTGTATTGCTTTTTTTTTTTAGGTCTTGCACTCCCAGTCTCGCCATGTTGAAGTCAGGATGGCCTGTATTCGCTATCTTCGGGAGAATAGAGAGAAGTTTGAAGCGGTAATTTGTAATTTCAAATACGTAATGGTATCCTGACTTGCATTTACATTGTGGCCTTTAGAAGTGGTCTAATGAGAATTTCACAGGCTGAATCTTAATGCAGGTTTTGAAAATAACCCTTATAAGGAAGAACTGCTTTATTGAACTTAAATCTGGTTATATTTGTGAAAATTTTTTGGCTATTTTGAGAGATTCATTTATTCAAACATTTAGAAAGCTTCTATGAAGGATAAGACACTGAGCTATTGGGGATGGAAGGATGACCTAAGCAGGGTCCTTGCATATTAAGAGTGAGCTTTGTCTGATATGGTCAAGGAATTGGATGTTGTGGTTAGGAGAGGTTTCAGTGATTGGTGACCCCCTAATAAAAAATTTTTAGACATGAGGTATAAAAACTACACTGGCCATAAGTAATACTGAACCCTTAATTTGGTCAGAAGGCATTTGAAGATTGTTAAAAAAAATTCAGGCTTTATTGTACAAGTACATATCAGAGTACTATAATTATGTAAATGATGATTAATAGTTAATAGAATGTTGTGTAACAACCTGCTGTATGTGACAGGCTGTGAAATAACATGTCGTAGTGATCTGTTCTTCATTTTACATTGAGAGCTTTATGGACTTAATAAAAACCTGTTGCCATCGAGTCGATTCTGACTCATAGCGACCCTATGGGACAGAGCAGAACTGCCTCATAGGATTTCCAAGGGGCACATGGTGGATTTGAACTGGTGACCTTTTGATTAGCAGCTGGGCTCTTAATGACTGCATCAGCAGGGCTCTGGCATGGGCATACTAACCCGTTGCCCATGAGTCGATTCCGACTCATAGTGACCCTATAGGACAGAGTAGAACTAGAACTGCCCAATAGGGTTTCCAAGGAACACCGGTTGGATTCAAACTACTGACCTTTTGGTTAGCAGCCGAACTCTTAACCTCTGTGCCACCAGGGTTTCCATGGACATACTAGTGACTGGTTTTATGACTGTGACCTAGAATTATGTCACCTGACAACCTTCATTGGCATTTTCCCCTTATTAACTGGTAAGGGAGATTGCCACTTTGCAGATAACTCAGTTCTAAGACTTAATAGGTAGAGTTCTTAGTTTGGACCTGTTCTCGGGTTGGTTTTTCTATCCTTATTTGTTCAAGCAAGTTATTATTACTGGTGACATTTTCCCGGGTGCCATGTTTTAAGATAGGCGGTAATATATTCCAGGAAGGAGAGTTTACCTGCTTGATCAGGAGATTTGGAACTTTATCTTATAAAAAAGCTGGTAATGTTGAGACTAGATAAGAGAATACTGGGGCATAGTGGTGAAGGAGAGGAGGTGAAGTGGTGTTTGTTTTTGAAGAAATTACAAATGAGTTTATCATTATTTGCCCCAGAGAGTAAAACTGTGATGTTGTTATTGTTGTTTGTTGCTATGGAGTTGATTCCAACTCATTGCTAATATCGGTCGTGCTTACACTGTGCCAGGCATTGTTTTTAGTGCTTTGCTTATATTTATTCTGTATAATTTTATCAGGTATGATCAGAGGCTGAAAGTTCCAAGGAGGGAAGTTTCACTTTCTTAAAACAAGAACCCTCTAACAGTTTTTATTGGCCAGAATGGGAAAGGGCTGACATGGGAAAGGATATGCCTTGTCACCAACAATGTTCATTCAGGGCTTAGGTAGACACTTTCTGATTAGAAAGGAAAATCTTGGATTGGATGCAGGATTGTGTTAGAATACGTATTAGGTCTCTTCCAACTTCAAGTGGTTCCTTTTTTTAAGTCTGTAATCTAATACAGACCAGTTATCTCTTATTTATTATATTTAAAATACATTGCTATTATAAATTTGTTTTGAAACTTAAGGCACTTTTTGGAAATTTGACAGGATATGGTCTATAAAAGATTTAATCTTATAAAAAAGTCCTTGGGAATTCATAAGATTTTTATAGACTGAGGAATGTACTTTAATGTTTTTAAGTAAATCACTGCAGAATTTGCTGGGACAGTAAATTAAGTAAAATTTGGTTTAGTATTTCAGACAAATGTCTTTTAGAGCTTTCTCTTAAATTATTGCGATGAGAAGCAAAAGATGAGGCTATCACATAGCTTGAGTGAACTCATTTTTATGTAAAAGTAACAACAAAGCAAGCTGTATTAAAATTGTAGATTCTTCAAAATACCTTTAGCATTATTAGTTATCAACTCCCTTTTTAGTACAACTGACCTAAGAGACAATGAGACCGCGTATCTGTTGTTAAGCTATACTATTTCTTAGGTAGTGTATCTGTCTTTGCTTTATTCTCTTCACTACACTGGTCACTACCAAATTAATCTCCCTGAAGTATTGCTTTCATCATGTAATTTTTCTGTTCAGAATGTCACCTGCAGTGACATTGAATTGCTTTTCCCTTCAGATCTGAAAGTCCTACCTAGGCTCAAGGCCGTCTGTAACAGCCCCCGTTGAGTTCCTCTTTCACTTGACTTTCCCCATGTTGCCCCACTCCCACTGGCCAGGCCACTCCTGTCTTCCCACAATGTTGTCATTTCCTCCTCATGCCACATTGTCCCTCTCCTGTCCAGCCTTCATCTTGAGTCACTCCTTGCCCAGAAAACCTTTCCTGGCAACATTTCTGTCTTTAAATTCTTTTACATTAAATGATTTGTATATATTTTTATAATTAGTTTATACTCTCCTTTTTAGCCATAACTGATGTATCCTAGGTTTGTGTAAGCACTCAGTAATTCAAAGCGAACATTATTTACATATTACATAAGAGGTTAACTGACTTTTTTTGTTTTGCAGTTTATAGAAGGGTCATTTGAAGAGTATTTAAAACGTTTGGAAAATCCACAGGTATGCATTAATCTTCTAATGTATTTCTATTTTTATATATCCAAATAAATAACGTATTCAAAAGTCATTAAAAAAAAAAGATCAATATTACAGTGTACAGAGGGGTTATGTGACCGTACACCGTGTTTTCTTATAAACATTCCTTACAAACATCTTAGGTGCACATTTTATGTGGTGTTTCATTGGATGACAGTTGGAGCTGTGTACTAGAGGTTGCCTCACTCAAGGCAGAGTCATGCTATCTTTATCTTTGTCATGATGGCATGTGAATGTAGCATAAAAGATCTAAAATAACACTGGTGATGATTTTCAAGATGCTGTGTTAGTGTGTGTAGAGGGCTTGGTGGGAGGGCAAGGTTTAACTGCTTTCTTAGGCAATTGAGAAGACAGTTCTTTTATGGAGGTTCCATTTCGCATGATCAGCTTCAGAGGAGGGGAGAGGCTGATGAGAAAGAAAAGGCTACCACTTCTGCACAAAGTCCCACTGCCACACTTTCTGAGTAATGTCGCAGTTAAAAGAATTCTGTCTTCGCTTTTTCTGCTCATAAAACTAATATTCTCACTGTGAAAATCCAAACATTATGGAATTCCGTGTAGAATGTTAAAGAGTTAATCACTGGGAAGTTAAAAATAACATCAGCAAAGGAAAAAGCTAAGAGTCAGGCAAGGCGTAAAGGGAGTGTACCATGGGAGAAAGGGTGTTAGTCTGGTAAATGATTAGTGTCTCCGTTTAGTTCCCTAGCACTCATTTGAGTGCTTGTTGTGGGCGGAGAATTGCTAGGCACCATGCCCTGGTGGCACAGTGGTTAAAGCACTCGACAGCGAACCGAATGGTCAGCATTTCAAACCCACCAGTGGCTTCGCGGGAGAAAACACCTGGCAATCTGCTCCTGTAAAGATTACGGCCTAGAAAGCCCTATGGGGCAGTTCTACTCTGTCCTATAGTGTGACTATGAGTCGGAATCGACTCAGCAGCACACAGTCAGCAGCATGGGGATGCAGAGGATTTGGAATCTGTTCTCAAGGTGTTTACCTACAGTAGGGAAGCCTGTCTAATTCAAGTTGGAGAAGTACGTATCGCATAAAAGGTACAGATGTGATGCCATAGCCATTCAACATTTTATTTCCCTTTGGGAGGTAAAGTAAGACCTTGAGAGTGAGTTGGCATTTGAAGTATGAATAGATTCTGAAATCTGTTTCAGAAATAGAGGATATTTGTCTCTGAAATTGAGGTAATACTGTACTTAGTTTAATACCTTATACAGTGTGCACATTTCTTCATGTATGGGCATTCTAGGCAGTGGAAACTGAGCAAGACAGGTACAGAAAACAGTTGTTCAGTTGGAGGAAGGAAGTGGTGAGAAGTAAGTTGGAGGGCAGGTTGCAGCTAGGTTCAGTAGTTTGGAGCCTGTGCCTGAAGGCTAGCATTTCCCAAAGTGTGAGCTACAGACCATCTGCATCAGAATCACCTGGTATGCATGTATAAAACGGAGATTTCCGGCCTCCCCCAGGCCTGAATGAGAGTCTCTGGGCAAAAGTGAGATTCTCAGAGTCTTATGTTAAGAATTTCAAACTTGTATTTTAGGTAATAGGCTACCCTATCTAATATTGCAACTGTCACCTCCTAACACACTTCTGCTTCCTTTCCCTGCTTTATTTTTCTTTTGTGCTTATGCCATTTAACATGCTATAGATTTTGTTTGTCTTCCTTCTAGAATATAAGCTTTTTGAGGACAGGGTTCTTTATATCTTGTTTTCTGCTGTGACCCCTGAGCCAAGAGTGAAACCCATGGGCATCAAGTCAATTTTGACTCACAGCAACCCTATAGAACAGAGTAGAACTGCCCCAGTACAGTTTCGAGACTGTAAATCTTTACGGAAGCAGACTGCCACATCTTTTTCCCACTGAGTGGCTGGTGGGTTTGAACTGCAGCTAATTGCTGTAACCACTGTGCCATCAGGGCTCCTAGAGCCAAGAATACTTCTCAGAGCCAAGAGTAGGGCCTGACATTTTTGACTCCCTGAATGGATGGATGTAAGAATATGTGTAAAATGGTTTGAGGGGGATGAGACCAGACACAGAGAGACCAGTTAAAGTGTTTGTTTGCTTTTTTACTTGTTTAATATATGGACAAATGTGCACACTATATTAGCTGTAAAAAGAAGTACAGTATTGCCTCAATTTCAGCAACAAATACTCTCTCAAGGCTTTTTCTCTAAATCCACCCCGACTATACTTTTATCTGAGTGGTTCAGAGACTGAGTTTTGTCCAGGTGCCATGATCAATTTCATTTCTCTGAAGCTTACATGTTTTTTCTCTCTTAGTTTATAAGAGCTCTTTGAAGGAAAGATTGTATATTTTATTGCTTTTGGAATTCCTGTAGTACCTTTCAATATGAGGTGCATAGTAGATGATCAGTTTGTGTGTGCTGAATGAATGCTCAGTCTCTGTCACACTATGTGTAATAGATAAGCAAGATACACACCAGACTGTTAACTGTTGTCATCTCTAGGTGGTAATGTTACAGGTGATTTTTACTTTCTTTTTTACAGAAAATAACAGATAATGACAAGGAACTTTTGGCAGAAAAAACCCCACAGTGTTATTTTAAAATAATCTTTGTGCAGCAGTTGAGGCTATGGAGTAATGAGGGGCTGAGCCAGGATAGACATAGTGGGAGTGGAGAGAAGGAGACAGAGGAGGTGAGGTAGTGTGAACTGGATTGAGCCTGGATTGATTTGGGGGCCCTTGGGAGAGGAAGGAGTGAAAGTTGCTGCAGTTTTGAATGTGTGGCACAGGTTGTCTCTGCCTCTTTCTTAAGGGGCTGGCCGGCCAGGTTTCTTTCTGAAAAACACAGGATTTCTTATTCTTAAAATACCCCCTTCCCAGTCTGATCAGATTTCTGCAGATATCTTATGTACCTCCTGAACGGTTGTTCTTTGTTATTAACAACAAATATTTATAAATCTTTTTTTCTCTGATGTGAGAGATGTGTAAAATGGAAACAAATACAGTTAATACTTGGATATCAGGGTAAAACTCCATTACTTCCTCCAGTTCTCAGTGAAGCATCTTTATTCTCTTAGCTAAAGTATCAGTGAAGCATTTTGATAAATGCGTCAGTCTTCTGCCGGAATGTATATATATACATATATATATATATTTTGAGGTAAAATGGACATATAATCGTGTAAAATTTGATGCGATTTGACATATATAGTTGTGTAACAACAACCTGAAATACCGCACAGGGCATCACCCCGCAAAATTCCCTCTTGTTGTTTTGCACTTAGGATCCCCTCCCTTCACCCTCTGGTTTCGCAACCCCGATCTGCTTTCTCTGGCTAAGTTTTGCCCTTTTGTAGACTCATAAATGGAGTAGTATAGTGTGTGGTCTTATGTGTCTGGCTTTCACTTAGCGTAATGGAAACATTTGAGATTCACCCATGTTGTGTGTATCAGTAGTTACTATTTTTTAATTGCTGAGTTGTAGTCCCTTGTATGGATGTACTATTCAATTTGTTTATCCATTCGCCGGTTGATGGATATTCAGGTTTTTCCAGTTTTGCAGTGTTATGAAGGAGGCTGCTATGAACATTTGCTTGTAAGTCTTTGTGTGAACATATGCTTTCTTTTCTCTTGGATTAGTACCTAGGAGTGGAATTGCTGGGTTATATGATAAATGTATGTTTAATTTAATGAGAACCGCCCATCTGTTTTCCAAAGTGGCTGTACCATTTTGCTTTCCCATCTGCAGTATATTGAGAGTTGCAGTTGTTCCACATCTTTGCCAATACTTAGTTTGCCTCCTTCTTAATCGTAACTGTTTAGTGGTTGTGTGGTGGTATCTCATTGTGATTTTAACTATAATTTCTCCAGTGAATAATGATGTTGAACATCTTTTCATGTTTTTATTTGCCACCTGTATGTCTTTGTTGGTGACATGTCTGTTTATAGCTTTTGCCCATTTTTTTTTTTATTGTGTTTGCCTTCATATTGAATTATGAGTTGTGATATATGTTTTGCAAGTGTTTTCTTTCAGTTTGTATTTTGCCTTTTTGCTTTCTCGACAGTGTCTTCTGAGGAACAAGTTTTAAATTTAAAGAACATTCAAATTATGCATTTTTGGTATAGTTGTGGTTCATTAGTTAAAACAGATTTTGCAGAAATTCTTTAATCTTACCCACAAGAAGGATGTGTATCAAGCATCATAAAAAATGCTTACTTTGGATATTAGGGTGTAAACTGTACTACTTCCTCCAGTTCTCAGAGAAGCATCTTAATTCTCTTAGCTGAAGTAAAAATTTAACCTTAAAGAATTTGTTCTGAAACTTAAATGCTTATAAAAAGGTATATTGTTTGAGAAATCACACTTTTTTGACATTGAGGGGTCAATTTTCCATTTTTTTAAGTGCTATGACACATTTCCAATAAATTGGAAACTTCGTTTGTATTTGTGATCTAAGCAGCTGATGCCGTGAGGGATTTCCTCTACACCAGAGATGTCACTTGTTGGAGCAGTTAGCGAGAGGCACGATTGTTAGGCTGAGGCCTATTTTAAGAAATCTATTTTAATATATGTTACTTATTTCATTTTGAAAACCAGAGCTAACTTTTAAGAACTAGTAAAAAAGTCTCTTGGGGAAAGATTGCCCTTGTCTGAGATCAAAACATTGTCTAAAATCTCAATCTATATATTTTTTCTTTCAAGGAAAAAGTAGCAGCATTCACTTACCATAGCTCCATGTTTTTAGTGACTTTTGTTATTAAGGCTTTACTAATTTCATACATAGTATAGGAATACATTCTCATGGTAAAAGTATTAAAAATATGGATATATACTGAATGAAGGGTGAAGATCCTTCATTTTCCCTTATTTTGAGCTCCCTGTTCTTCACTATCAATAGTTTGAGATGCATACTGCTGATCTCCTTTCTACACACACACACACACACACACACACACACACACACACACACACACACACACAGACACACACACACTTACAAATAGACATACCTTCTTGTTTAACACAAATAGGATTATTTTATCATGAGTTGCTTTTTTAACTTAATAGCTTGAGAGATCTTTCCAAGTCAGTTCATATGGGTATACTTCATTGTTTTCAGAGATTGCCTGGTGTTCCATAGTATGGACGAACCATAAATTATTAATTATTACCGTAAAAATGGTGGAGCGGGTAGAACAGAGGTTAAGTGCTACAGCTGCTGACCAAAAGGTTAGCAGTTTGAATCCACCAGTCGCTCGTTGGAAACCCTATGGGGCAGTTCTATTCTTTCTTGTAGGGTCACTGTGAGTTGGAATCGACACGACAACAACGGGGAGGAGGGAAGATGGTGGTGTGGTGTCAGACCTCCTTGCCTAACTTCACAAGGGGGAGGGAGAATCACTGTCAGCATCAACCCAGGGCTGATTCCTAAGAGGTGGAGATCAAACATATTTCCACTCTCCAACCTTTTTACCAGTTCTGACACCAGTGGTCCTTTCCATGGCACTCTCTACTTCTCTGCTGGGTTCGATAATTCGTTGCAGTGGCTACACAGAACTCACAGACCATGCTCACGATTATGAGGTTTATTAGGGAAGTAACAGGTTACAATTCAGGATCACGAACAACTCAAGATACAGTTCTTCAATCAGGATGATAACTTCTCAGCCGTCCCCACAGGCAGGCCTTTTGGCTTCTCGGCCTGGCCTCTGCCCTGCTCGGGCAAGTGTTACAGAGCTCTTCAGCTCCTCCAATAAGTGCCCGGAGGCACCTCACTATGCCAGTAAGCCTCAGCCCAAAGCACTCAGCTCTCTTGCTCCATGAATCGGTGAGCCTAGCTCTTCCAAGTGCCTGGAGGCACCCCACTCTGCCAGCAAGCCTCCTTCCTGAAGACGCTCTCTCACTCCATGGGTTGGCCTCACTAGTGGGCGTCCCATCACACCATCTCATGTTGGTCTGGTTCTGCTGCTGCCTTTTCTGCAGCACTTGACACCACTTGTTACTGTCTTGTGCCTTCTCTGGTGTTGCAGCTTTGTCTCCTGGGTCTAGGAGGTTCTCAGTGCAGGAACCCCAGGTCCAGATAATGGGTTCCAGTCTCTACTCTTCTTCCTTGGTGGTACTGAGGTCCCCTCCCTGCTGCTGGGATTGGCTTCCTTTAAGCCTAGTGGGATGACAAAACTGACCAATCCCCTCGTTAGGCTTCCATACACCTTATTTCCATGGCCTTCCCCTTCCATCCCCCCACAAGGGTCTCATGCACCTTATTTGCATCATTAGCAAGATGTCCAGTCCCCCCTTGGTGGGCCACACCCAGTCATTTTGTGGGAGTCACAAGATCATTCATGGCTAGAAGGGCCGTATTAAGTAATTCATTGCACCTCACTTATCTATTGGTAGAATCTTAGGATTTTCTTTTTGTTTGTTTGTTTTTGTACTATTATAATTAGCTACAGTGAACATCCTTGTTACATACACTTTTGTAGACTATGAACTATTTCTCCAGAACAAATTTGTAGAAGTTGAATTGCCGGACCAAAGAGTATATGGGCATTTACATTTTGCCTTCTAGAAAGGCTTAAGGACTATAGAATTTCTGCCTCATTTCAAAATTGCTCATTTTGTACCTTCATTCTCTGAAGATAAGAGCGCATGTTATGTGCCGGACTCTGTCTTGGCTACTGAATTGGAGGACCGAGCCCTTGTTTTAACAAGTTTTCAATGCACAGATGCCACTCAGGTGGTCTTGACACACCAAGAGGCACTATCATTCGAGCCTGTTACTAAGAATTTTTAGGTCAGATACTTGGACTGCTCTTTAGCATATATTATCATCTGTTTTATCTAAGTGTTTTTATAATGATACTAATGAGCTTTTCTAGTAGAGGTATATTGTAAAAAGCGTGAGACACTTATGTGCCATCTTTTTTTTCTTCAATACAGGAATGGGTTGGACAAGTGGAAATAAGTGCCCTTTCTCATATGTACAGGTAAACACTCTAATAGCATAAGTAAACAGAAATAAAAGTAGAAAATTTAGTGTACTTTATTATCCTTAAAATTAGGCCATTTTATACCTTAGTTGTGAAGCACCTTTCTATTTTTTTTTTTTTAATTGCATCAATTAGATTTTGACATTTAGGTATGTCAAAATTTAGACATTTTAATTCTTAAAATACTTTTGGAAAGGAGTACAGAAATTTTTTCAGATTATGTCATATAACCTGTGTCACTTTATAACCAACCTTATAAACATATGATTTCTTATTTTCTCCAGGTCAGTAGCATTGAATGGCCACTAGATAAAAACTAAAACACTATGTTATTCAATTTTCCTACTTTTGACCATAGAGGAGCAGATGAATACTTCCCCACCTAATATGTCTGTAAATTTTATTTTTACAATTTCTGTGAAATTTCTAAGGTCTCCTTTCAGAATTACGTCTGAAGTTGCTGTTAGTTGCCGTCGAGTCGATTCTGACTCATGACGACCCCACATGTGCAGAGTAGAACTACTCCATAGAGTTTTCAAGGCTGTGACCTTTCAGAAGCAGATTGTAGGCCTGTCTTCTGAGGTGCTTCTGGGTTATATAGATTCAAATTATACTTGAATTTTTATTTTAAACAAAAATTCATTTGCTTAGGTGTTTTACAACTTAGTTATTTCATTATTATCTTTTACCTACTCCTGTATCTATAGTGGAAACCCTGGTGGCATAGTGGTTAAGTGCTGCAGCTGCTAACCAATAGGTCGGCATGTTTGAATCCACCAGGCGCTCCTTGGAGACTGTATGGGATGGTTCTACTCTGTCCTATAGGGTTGCTATGAGTCGGAATCGACTCACTGGCAATGGGTTTGGTTTTTTGGTATATCTCTAGTGCCTAGAACATTGCCTGGCATGTGTTAGGCACTTGATGAATGAATGAATGAAAGATTAAATTCATGAAGTATATTCTATCAGAAATAATTTCTAAATGTTATTTTCAGGAAAGATTTTATAATTTATCAGGAACCAAATGTTTCTCCGTCACAAGTAACTGAAAATAATTTTCCTGAAAAGGTAAGCATTTTTCTAAGTGTCTCTAAAGAATTTAAATATAAGAACCACTCAGTTGCCATCTTGACCTCCTAATCTATAATTTTGAAGTGACTTGAAATATTTCTGTATGATGGCTGTGGTATTCTGAATTTTATAAGTTTCTGTTAATCATCTTCTTTTAATTAAGTATATTATTTTGTATTTTCCCTCCTACAAATCACTGTGTTGAACTTTTACATAACATTTCAGTAGAGAAAACACTTTACGAGATACTAGTTTATATGATGAACTGGACTGTTAGTGTTTTGTGTGAGTATAATAAACATTAAATGGTAAAATAATTTGTGAAAATAGATTGTACCATTGCATCAAGGGATACTTTGGTAATCATGATGTATTTCCTGTCATAAAGATGATTCACTGACTAGGGTGTTAATCACAAATCAGAAACAATGGAAAGTTTTTGTGAATCCTAGATAGAAAAAGAATGCATCGATTCATTAAGAGAGCTTTATTTTAATCGGCTATTTTGGAATTTTGCATGCCAAGTCGAAGTGACTTGTATATCACCATTGTGGTGAAGGGGGTATTGAGTGAAATGCTACTTCTACAAGACCTTGGGGGTTTCCAAGGGGCTTTGCTCTGGATCTGGCCTTTCCAATACAGTTTTTGGAATGTGACACATTCTAAACAAAATCAGTGTGCATTTCTCTTGATTAAATAATTGACTATTTGGAGATTAGACTGTAAAGAAGCAGGAAAAAATTTATCGTTGATTCTGCCTCCTAGTGGTAAGCATTATTCTTCTAGGCTGTATACTGTCTTGTTATTTAAATAGTTGAAATCATATTGTTTTCATAAATTGTCTGTTTTTTATGATCCCATAAGCATTTTTTATTATTTTAATTTTTAGTAAAAACATACAGCAAAATATATACCCGTTCAACAACTTCTGCATGTACAGTTCTGTGACATTGGTTGCAAAGTGTCATCATACTGGTTCTCTCTGCCCAAGTTATTTTACCCCATTAACTTAGACTCACTGCCCTCTGAACTTCTCATCTGTGCTTTAGAGTTACTGTTGTCAATTTGACCGCATAGATAATTCTTTAAAACGGTGCATGCTCAAGCAAACATTTTTTACTAATAAAGCTAAACCATTGTTTGGTTTAAAGATGACTTCAGGGGATGGTTTCAGTTCAAGGTTTAAAGATTATCTCAGGACAGTAGATTGAGGGGTTCCTCCAGCCTCAGTGGGTCCAGTAAGTTTAGATTCCATAGGAATTTAAAGTTATGTTCCACATGTCCCCCGTTTTGGTCAGGGTCCATCTGTTGAATCCTTGATGAAAACATTCAGTAATGGTAGCTGGGCACCCCCTAGTTCTTCTGGTCTCTTGGCAAAGGAAGCAGTAGTAATGGAGCTGCAGTCCAGTTCCTTTTATAGTTCCTGGGTCTCTTTCTTCTCCTGGTCCAGGTGAATAAATAGAGACCAGTTGTTGTATCTTGATGTCCACTCGCAGGCTGTTAAGACCCCAGGCACTACTCACCCAACTAGGAGATAGAAACTCTAAAAGCAGTATTAGGCCAGCTGACTGGATTGTCCTATGAAACCATAACCCTAAGCCATCGAACCAAGAAAACTAATCCCATGAGATGTTTGGTTGTATGTAAGTAGTATCAATAACTGCACTTTTTTTGTTGTTGCTGCTGCTTTTGTAAAATTACGTGTAACGCAACATTTGCCATTTTGTCCTTTTTCTGGACTTAGTGATACCAGTTACATTAGTCAAATTGTGTAACATTGCCCTTAATCAATGTCAGTTTTCCCGTTGCCATAGACAAAACTTTACTACTTTCCAGAGAATGATTCCCTCTTTCTCTTCCCCCTTCCGTTCCAGGTAACCACTAATAACCATTGGTCTCTATATATTTCCTATTCTTGTCATTCCATATAAGTGAGATCATACAGTATTTGTCCTTTTGTGATTAACTTATTTCACTCAGAATAACGTCTTCGAGGTTCATTCATGTTGTATAGCATGTATCAGGACTAAATTTCTCTTACTGGCTGAGTAGTAGTCCATTGTATGTATGTTCTGTATTTTGTTTATCCATTCATCTGTTGATGGACATTTTTTGCTATTGTAAATAGTGCTACAGTGAACACAGGTGTACGTATGTCTCTCTTTGTCACTATTTTTTAGGTCCCTGGGGTATATACCTTACAAGTGGAATTGCTGGATCATACGATAGTTCTGTTTTTAATTTTTTGAGGAATCACCATGCTGTTATCCACAATGGTTGTTCTTTTACATTCTCACCAGCACTGGATAAGGGTTCTGATCTCCTCACATTCTGGCCAACATTTGTTTTTTTCTGTTTTTTGGTCATTACCGTTCTAGCAGGAGTGAGGTGTTATATTGTTGTAGTTTTGATCTGCATCACTCTCATGGCCAATGGGAGCCCTGGTGGCAAAGTCACTTAAGAGCTCAGGCTGCTAACGAAAAGCTCAGCAGTCGCTCTTTGGAAACCCTATGGAGCAGTTCTGCTGTGTCCTGTAGGGTTGCTATAAGTTGGAATCGACTTGACAGCACACAAAAATAACAACAGTGGTAATAACGATGAGCATCTTTCCATGTGCTTGTTGACTGCTTAAATATCCTCTTTGGTGAAGTGTCTCTTCGTGTCATTTTCCCATTTTTTGATTGAGTTATTTTTGTTGTTGAGTTGTAGAAGTTTTGTATATATTTTCTGTATTAGATCTTGTCAGATACATGGTTCCTGAAGATTTTTTTTCCCAGTTTGTAGGTTGTCTTTTTACTCTTGAAAAAGTCCTTTGATGAACATAAGTACTTAATTTTCATGAGGTTCCAATTATCTAGTTTGTATTTTGCTGCTCATGCAGTTGTTTCATTTGATAAGCTGTCATTTAAAAAAACTAGGGTCCCATAGCTTTGCCCCCTTTATTTTCTTCCAAGAACTTAATGGTTTTAGATTTAACATTTAGGTCCTTGATTGCCCATAAACATTTTCTCAAGTCACTAAGAATTGTACCATAGGCTGACCACGTTGGAGCGTTAAATTGGTTCTAAAATATTAACTTTATTTTGGGGAATTATAGTAATTCAGGGAAACCCTGGTGGTGTAGTGGTTAAGAGCTATGGCCACTAACCAAAAGATCAGCAGTTCGAATCCACCAGGCACTCCTTGAAAACCCTATGGGGCAGTTCTACTCTGTCCTGTATAGGGTCACTATAAGTTGCAATTGACTCAACAGCAACAGGTTTTATAGTAATTCAGAGGCATTGGAGACATAAGTTGCTATGTAAATGTCATTATATGAAGGACCTGAAATGTGTTTTTCTTTTTTCCTTTCAGGTATTACTGTGTTTTTCAAATGGAAATCATTATGATATTGTCTATCCCATGAAGTATAAAGAAAGCTCTGCTATATGTCAGTGTAAGTATTACTCTTGCATCTGTATAGGAAATTATATCCCGAAGCTCTACAGCCTTATTGCAAATGAGTCAGGGCAAATATATTCTGTTCTGCTGTAACATGAAAGATATTTCTGAGAGCTTTAGGTTACCAAATCTATTGCCATAATAAAAAGTTGTTTCAATAGGAAAAAAAAAAAAGGAGCTAATGGCTAGAGTTTGACTTGTAAATACAATTATTTTTTGTCTGCACGTATTTCAGCATTAAAGATTTGTATGTGATTTTAAAGCTGTTATTGTATAGGTTGAAAATCCAAATGACTGAGCACATCAAATATTTTTATTTGGCTGTAGGGTAGGGTGTCTTAACCTCGGCACTATTGACTTTTTGAGCCAGCCTAGTTCGTTGTCGTGAGCGCTGACCTGTGCATTGTAGGATGTTTAACAGCATCCCCCACCTCCACCCAGTAGATGCCAGTAGCATCGTGCCATTATGAGGATCAAAAATGTCTCCAGCCTTTGCCAAATGTTTCTTGGGGGGTTACTGGAGAATAAACCTCTGTTTGAGAGTTACTGCTATAGAAGAGTAATGACCCTTCCTACCTTTATCATCTGTCTGACAGAGCACAGATCATTCATATAAATAGCAGTGCTGTGTGTGTAACAGCTTTTTGCTATGTTTTTAAGCTGGTGGAGATTGGTAAAAAAATAGATGGAAGGCAATTTTTTTTTTTTTAACTTAATTCATTTTGAGATGTGACAGTCTGGCTGTCTATATCGTGGGCGATATGTCCACCCTCAAGGTCCAGATCTGGTCGTTTCAACTTTGGGAACGAAAGCTCATGGAGCCTGCCTTTTCTTCTACCTCTCAGTGCTTGTGGTTTGGATGATGTCACGGTTGTGTCTCCTGGTACCAGAATCTGTGACAGGAGGTCTTCTTGGGGACTCCTTAACAGGGTGGACACCCACTGTTGATGAATTCTTAGTGCGCTTGTGTTTCCATAGAGCTCATTCTAACAAATAAAGCCAAATGAGAGTCCTAAAGTCCACGCATTGTGTGTTTTAAATTTTTTATAGACTACATTTCCATGTTTTCAAGGCTAGAGTTTTGTTTTTCTTAATGCAAAAAAAAACTGTGTAAATATGCTTCCTCCCTTCAGTGACGGCTGAGAATACATTTTCCAAGTTTCTTTTTAGTTCCTTAAGAAATTATCAAGATTTCATAAAATCTGGAGCTGGGTTATGGAGTCAAACAGCCTCTTGTTTTAGAGAAACCTGAGTGAAGTGCCTTGCCCAAGATTACAGATAGTGAAAGAGCTGAGACTAGAATCCAGGTCTTATGACTGGTCACCTGGTGCGTTCCATGCTATGCCATGTTGTTTTTCTAACAATCTTAATGTTTTTTATCCAGGCCCCTTAAGGTTGGGCAGGTTGTGTAACATCTTTGAATCTCAGTTTCCTCATCTGTATAGTTATAATAATAGTACATCCTTGTGTTAGGATTAAATATGAGGATTTGTGAAATCTCAGCACAGTGTGTGACATATAGTGATTGCTCAACCTGCATGTTTACTGTTTACTGTCATCGTACTTGTCTTTACAGTTGTGATATTTCGAGCAAATTAACTTTGCACAGACAGAAATCCTGGCTGCTCTTTAGGCAACTTTCTGATTAGATTGTGTTATTGATGTTGCAGGTATCCAGTTAGTATTTTAGAAGCCTGAGCGATAGATAATCTCGTTTTTATTCTCTATCCCTATTTTAAAAAATACCCACCATTTTTAATTATTGCAGATGGTTTTAAAAGTATTGCATAAAATTTCTCAATTTCAGCCCTCCTTTATGAATTGCTGTATGAGAAGGTATTTAAAACTGATGTTACTAAAATCCTGATGGGACTAGACTCCTCTGAAGTGGCTGGTGAAAACAACGGTGATATATCCGATTCGGAGGATGACAGTTACAAGTAAGGATGAATTTAAATCCTAAAATGTCTTTCTTAGTGCATACAAAAAATAACACTTCAGTGAATTTTTCTGTATGGAATTGTCTCACGTACTGAGATGTTAGGGTATTTGTAAAATAATAGTGCTCTCAGTAGAAATTTATCTGTATCACTAATTTTATCTAATTCTTATTATGAGTTTTTTTTTTTTGAAACTCACTGTTTTTGGTTGATAATGATCTATTTTTTTGAGGTAATCAGGATGCATATTTGTAGAATAGGTTTGATCCCACCTTATGTGTATGTGTGTTGTAATTTTAAAGTTAATTTGTCAATTATTTACACATCCAGTGATGATAAAATGGTCATTTTGATTTCCTTGACTTCCTTTTATTGTTATTTTTCTTAGATAATGCTTCTTTGTTTCTTTTTTTAAGATAATGAATCTCTCAAGTTGGGGTTTAAATATGTAAACAACTCTGGATAATACCTCTACTTAGTTCTGAATAAACACCTTTTAACTTAGAGTCTAGAAGGCTTATTTTCTTTTCCTCACAAGAAATAGAGGGTAGTGGCTAAGAGATTGATCTCTGGACATCCAAACCTAGTTTCAATCCTGGTTTCCTGCTAACTAGACTTGGGGCAAGTTACTTAAATTTAAGAAGCCTCATTTCTACAGCTATAAAAGGATATGTTAGTATTCTATCAAAGGGAAGTTTTTGTGAGAATTGAATGAGATAACGTGTAAAGTGCATATCCTAGTTCATAGAGGTGTTCAACACACAGTAGTTATCATTATTAAGAAGCTTACCTATTGTATGTACGCTTTATAAGAACCAACACTATTCCCTGTGAAAAGAAAAGTATTATTCCCCCTGTATGAAGGTATTCTGTTTGGTGTCACACACTGTAACTAGAGATAGAAATAGAATTTAAGCCTTAGGATAGCTAATACTTTATTAAATAAATACTTAAAAAATCTCTCCATTGATTTGTGATTCACACGTATTTGTGGAATTAAAATTGTCTGTTCTGGATTGAAAATTTGATTTGACTACCACTTCTTTACAGCTTGAATCAGTTAGGTTAGAATTTGGGTCTGCCATGTAAATTTAATCCTTGAACCACCTCATAAGGTTTTCTTGACTATATATAATCTTAATGGAAGCAGTTGGGCGACCTTTCTTCTGCAGAGCCACTGGGAGGTCTCAAACTGCCAATCTTTAGCTTAGCAGCCGATCGCAAACTGTTTGCGCCACCCAGGCTCTTTTGCTGAAGACTGGAGATTGGTTTATTAAAAAGGAATTGTAGGACAGAAGAGCACAGGTAGGTGCAAGTCAGAGCCTGTCTTAGCTCATCTCCCACTCAACCCATCGTTACTGTTCTGGCCTTACCAGCCTCTTTGCCAGACTCTCCCACCTCATGGTCTTTGCACTTGCTGTTCCCTCTGCCTGGAATACGAAATAACCTGGTTTGCTGCCTGGCCACATAATTCTTTATTCAAAAAAGCATCTCAGGCCTTTCCTCATCTCACTTTTTTTTTTATTATTTCAGCCTACATCTCGGTAGCGCTATCACCCTTTCCTACCTTTTGCCTCCGTAGCACTTAGAATTTAACGTACTGATTACTTATTTATTTTGTGTCTACTTTCACTGGATTGTGCATTTCTTGTGGGCAGAGTTTTTGTCTGTTTTGTTTACGTTTAGATCCCAGCACCTAATGTAATGCCTGACGCACCATAGGCACTCAAATATTTGTTTCATGAATGAATGTACAGTGTATAGTTATGTATGTTGTATGCTCGTGAGTCAATTCCAACTCATGGTGACCCTATATGACAGAGTAGACTGCCCCGTAGAGTTTCCTAGGCTGTAGTCTTCACAGGAGCAGATCACCAGGGAGCAGCTGATGGGTTCAAACTGCTGACCTTTCGGTTAGCAGCTGAGCTCTTAACCATTGTGCCACCAGGGCTCCTTATGTAGTTATGTGTGCTACAGTGAATTCAACTGATGACAGTTCTTTGGTTGTATTGAAGATTATTTGATACAGTGTTTTTAATAAAAAAGCTTGGTTGTTGAATCCTCTATAGATGGATAATTTTGTTGTAATGGAATATTTTGTTTAATGGGAACCTCACCTGAACATTAAAAGGAAAATTTTTTATGTTGAATTTTTTATAAACTCAATTATTCTGCTCACCCAAATTCCATGGTTTACTTCTGTTTTCTTAATGACTGAGCTAGTAACAGTTACTGGTAATAAAAGTCTTTGACACATATCTTATGTAAGTACACACACACACACACACACACACACACACACACACACACACACACACCTCTATACACACATTTACACTAAGTCTTGTTTTGGAGAGTAGTTCTTTTGAGAGTTTCAGAGTTTAAAAGTGACTTTTATGCAAATGCATTTTTTGTATTCCTAATTGTGGTTATTTTTTTCCTTTTTAGGAGTAAAACTACCACTGTTAATGATGTGAATGGATTGAAAGCTTTGTCAGGCGACCAGGTATTTTTTAAAGATAGTTTTAATTAGTACTTCAGTATGTGAAAGCATATGAATTTATAGTGTTAACTTTTTCTGGTACTTTTTCAGTAAAGTCAGGCTCTTTTACTAGTAAGACATTTATTGGTGATCTAATATTTTGAAGTTATTTTTTTCCCTTCGTTTGACTTTAGTTCCTACATATATGTCAAACAAAAATCGTTTTAAAAGCATTTCTGTGGTGATTGAACTTCCTGGCTTTCTTTGTTTCTTTAGCATCTGAAGAACAGTGGGAACTCTACCAGCCCTCCTTTGTCTAGAAAGGTTCTGAAATCACTCAATCCAGCTGTCTATAGAAATGTGGAGTATGAAATTTGGCTGCAGTCTAAACAGGGTGAGTTAAAAATCTGCATTTTCCATAAATTTGCTTTGTGGCACCTGAAAATAATTGAGTCAAATTGATATTATACTGATACTGTTTACAGCTCAACAGAAACGTGATTATTCCATCGCTGCTGGCTTACAGTATGAAGTTGGAGATAAATGCCAAGTAAGAAAAGATTTTACTTGAAATCTTGCTTGTTTCTAGTAGGAACCAAGAAACTAGGTCAAGTTTGAAGGTGTTATTTTGGGGTTTGAAAATATATTTATCATGTATACATCTTAATTGGTTGCAAATTAGTTCAGCTTGGTTCAGCTTCAAATTGATTCGGACTTGACTTCATAGGTCAATTTGTTTTGTCATCCTTTCCCGTATGTCTTTTTTTTTTTTTCTGTTGGATTGAGGAAGGAGAGTGAATCCTAAGAGGAGTTTTGCCATTTACTTGGAGTAAGCTGTGTCTCTGTACTGAGTAGCTGATTGTTAAAGGGGAAGAAGGTTGGATTAGAGCAGTGGTTCTAAGCCTGGGGTGATTTTGCCCTTCAGGGAACATTTGGCAGTGTCCGGAGATGTATTTGGTTGTTGCACTTGGGGGTGGGTGGTGGTACTGACATCTAGTGAGTATAGGTTAGAGATGCTGCTAACCATGCTGTGGTACACAGGATAGCCCCCCACCGCAAAGCATTATCTGGTCCAAATTGTCGTTAGTTGGAGAATCCCTGGATTAGATAATTTCCAAGGTCCCATTCTGTTCTTTGTTTATGGAAAAATGCTAGTATTTAAAAACAAACAAAACAAAAATTATATGGAAGATAGTTTTCATCAAAAATGGTTTTCATTGAAAAGTGTTGTATTATTGAAGCTACTTTAAAATAATCATTGACAAACATTTCTTCTTGACTTACAGAGAAATAATCATTTATTTTGTGAAATATTAGTTTGTGAAAAATACCTGACCAGGATTGTGTCTGAAGCATCAATGACAGGCTTTATCTTAAGAACTTTTTAATAATATCCCGGTTTTGGGGTATCTGAAAGAAGAGGATTTGAGTCATTTGGGTGCTTCCTTCTAAGATGATTAGAAATATGCTGTGATCATAGAATGAGTTGTGGAAGCTTTCATTACAGTGAATTGGAAGACTTGGAAGAGAACAAAAGAGAAGAATAAATTGAGAGCATAAAGCCCTCCACCCCTTTAACAAAGAGAAGATTGCTTATCTTAGACTGCATCATTAAAATTGTTATTCGTTATTTTAAAGCAAGCATATTTCCTTTGAGATTGAAATTGCTTTTGGTAATGCAGATGACTTGATAAAGTAAAGCAGATACCTGTTTGAGTTTTTTTTTCCTTTTTATTTTGTTTTTATATTTACTGCTTGATCATTTCACTTAGATAAAATTTAATTGAAATTTTAATTATGGAGACTGAGATAACTCAAAAGTGACTTGTGTTTACTCAAGTAAAGATGTATGTGTATGATGCAGTTTAAACTTTTGATAAAAATTAATTTCTGAAGAATCCTATTTATTGTTAAAGTCTTGAAGAGAGGAAGGCAAAGTGTCCTATTGTGATTAATGAATGAAATCTTAGGAAGTTTGAAGTTGTTTAAGGCAGTGGCACACGTTATGTTTCTAGTGTGGTGATTGGCAGGTGCGTTATTCACTGTGTTTGGTTTGAATATAGGAAGAAATCTAAAGGCCTTAATTCTTTTTTCACAGTTTGCATTTAGGTAATACCAATTGGATGTTAGAGAACAGAAGATGGATCTATTTTTAGGGAGGAAAAATGTCACATTTATACATTTTTAATAATTGTTTCTCTGAAAAAACAAAGAATAGCAATTATATTAACAGTTGTTGTCATTTGTAGAACGGTTGCCATGTGTAAATTGGTGTCCTTTATGCTCCTTGTATACATTCGCATTCCGCCTCCATGAGTCTTCCGATGCACATGCTTTTATTAGCCCAATTTTGCATGTGAGGAATCTGAAGTGTGCTAGGTTGAGTAACTTTCTTTTAGGGAGCGGTCTGGGAGGTCAGGGAGATGGAGTTTATTATGTATACACTTTTGAATGTGGTTTTGTTCTGCCCCGTATTTATCTTCTCTTTAATTGAAAACAAAACAAAAATTGAAAAACTGAACATTAATGCAGAGGAAGTGGGTGCCTGATTTTCTTTCTGGAATTGTTCTACAGGTTAGGTTAGATCACAATGGAAAGTTCTCTAACGCAGATATTCAAGGGGTTGACTCTGAGAACGGACCAGTTTTAGTCGAAGAACTTGGAAAGAAGTACGTATGATTCTTCCACTAAGGAACTTACTGACTCTCCCGTTTAGCCTAATGTAATCATGAGCATTTCTGTATGTACCCGTGTACTTGTGGGGCCCTGGTGGCGCGGTGGTTAAGCGTTCGGCTGCTAACCACAAGGTCTGCAGTTGGAATCCACCAGCTGCTCCTTGGAAACCCTATGGGGCAGTTTTACTCTGTCCTGTAGGGTTGCTGGAAACCTTGGTGGTGCAGTGGTGAAGAACTATGGCTGTTAACCGAAAGGTCGACAGTTCGAATCCACCAGGCACTCCTTGGAAACCTTATGGGCCAGTTCTACTTTGTCCTATAGGGTCGCTATGAGTTGGAATCAACTCACCAGCAATGGGTTTGGTTTTTTATTTTGGTTTCTGTGTATTTGCAAATTCAGTGGATGATATTTCCTATGTGTAGAAAATATATTTGTTCAGATCCTTAGGAAAAATAGTTCAAATTAATTTGAGTTCAAACTAAATTGCTAATTAAGTTGGCAAATTTCAAATTAAAGAAAATAACTTATTTTATTGCTTAAAATTTGAAATGTGCTGGTCTTCACAGAGGCACTTTGGGACGTTGACTAGATTGTGAATATACAGTGGGAGCTTTGGAGAACAGGAACCATATTTATTTCTAATTTCATTCAGTGCTTCATTGCATGTAGCTAGTATTCAGTAGGAGGCCCTGGGTGGCACAAATGGTTAAGCACTTGACTGCTAACTGAAAGGTTGGTAGTTCTAACTCACCCAGAGGTTCCTTGGAAAACAGGCCTGGCGGTCTGCTTCCAAAAGGTCACACAGCCTTGAAAACCCTCCGGTGCAGTTCTGCTTTGCACACGCAGGGTCGCCGTGAGTTGGAATCTACTGGATCGCAACTAACAACAGCAGTATTAAGTGTTCGTCAGATCTAGTAGTAAAATATTATTGTTGGCTTGCTATTACATAGTGTTACTTAGGGCACCTTTTGTTTCAGTTTCTGCCTCCTTTACTTAGAGAAAAAGCTGATGAATCACACCTTAAAAAACTTATTATGGAAAATTTCAGGCATGCACAAATGTAAGGGGAATAGTACAGTGAACCCCAATATAACCATCGCACAGTTTCAGCAAGAAACAGAATTTGACAATCTTTTCTCTCTGACACCTTTTTTTTTTTTAATTGGAGCGAGACTGGAATATTTTCAGGCAGATTCCAGACGTCACACCATTTCTCCCGTAGATGCTTGTATGTATCTCTAACAGAATGAAGGCCCTCCTGCCTTAACTACAGTACCAATATCACATGTAACAGAATAACAATAATTCCCTGTTTATCCAATCCTATACTTTTAGTTTGTCTTCTTAAATTAGAAAATGTACTTTTAATTTATATCATCTTACTTGATTAGAATTATGTCTGAATTGCTAAATGCGGCTTCTACTTCTATTTTGTTTTTAATATAACAGCTAAAACTGGAAATTCTTAGCTTATGTAAGTTGAAAATAAAATACTTGTTTAAGTAGATGTTCTTAATAGGAGTAATTTAAGTCATTGCAAGTCTTTTTTTCCTTTTGAAGACACTCACTGAAGAACCTCAAGCCTCCTCCCCCAGAAAACTGGAACACAGTGTCAGGGAAGAAGATGAAAAAACCTTCTACTTCAGGACAGAATTTCCATTCTGGTAGGAGCACATCAAGTTACCGTTTCTTTGGGGGTAAGGGTCATGGTACTTGGGGTGTTTATAATATGAAAATTCTGAGATAAACTTTTTGTTCTTGTCACAGACACGGATTACAGAGGGCCGAAGAATCCAAGCAAGCCAGTAAAAGCTCCGTCAGCACTACCTCCTCGCCTCCAGCACCCTTCAGGAGTGAGACAGCACACATTTGCTGGTCATTCTTCAGGGTCCCAGTCTCAGAAGTCCTCCAGTGAGCACAAGAACCTTAGCAGGACACCCTCACAGATCGTAAGGTAACCTTCAGCACAAGGGAAGTGGAAATTAAATTAGAAACGTTCATTTTATTTGTCACATTACATACATTTAAATAGTTTTTATAACTTTTTTGTGCATATACTTATCTGAAGCATAAGTATTGCAAGTAGTATGTATCGTTGGTAAAACACCAAGTGAGGATTTCAGTTCTTTATAATTCTCTTTAAGCAAATCAAGGTAATTTTGTGTAGGGTAAGAGACCTTTATTTTTTAATTAGTTTTTCAGATGATTTGGGAGATCCTCTCCTAGCCATATCTTCCTCTGGCACGTAAGGTGGCTCGTAAAATGTTCAGTGTTGTTAGTTGCCATTGCCTCAGCTCTAACTCATGGTTACTTTAATGTATAACAGAACAAAACGTTGCCTGGTCCTGTGTCAGCTTCATGATCATTGTTACGTTTGAGTCTTATTGTGGCTGTTGTGCCAGTCCATTTCATTGAGGGCTTCCCTTGTTTTCGCTGACCCTTTACCAACCAGGATGTCCTTTACCAGTGATTGGTCTTTGCTGGTGACGTGTCCGAAGTAAGTGAGCAGAAGTCTTGCCATCCTTGCTTCTAAGGAGCATTCTGGTTATATTTCTTCTAAGACAGATTTGTCCATTCTTCTGTCAGTCCACGGTATATTTAATATTCTTTGCCAACACCACAATTAGCATGGCTTGGGTCAGGCACACCTTAATCATCGAAGTGACATCTTTGCTTTTTAACGCTTTAAAGAGGACTTCCGCAGCAGATTTACCCAAAGCAGTATGTCATTTGATTTCCTGACTGCTGCTTCCGTGGTGGTTCATTGTGGATCCAGGTGGAATGATGCCATTGACAGCTTCATTTTTTTCCATTTACCATGATGTTTATTGGTCCAGTTGTGAAGATTTTTGTTTTTCTCACGTTCAAACGTAATCCATACCGAAGGCTGTAATCTTTTATCTTCATCAGTAAATGTTTCAAGTCGTCTTTATTTGGCAAGCAAGGTTGTGTCATCTAAATACTGCATTCCAGTTTGCATTCCTGATTCCCTGGAGGGTAAAGATATTCCCCTTTGTATAACAACTTAAATCAGCCAAAATTTTAGTTAGTTCTGAGAAGTTGTGATTGTTATGGTAATATCTAATACTGTATGGGGCCACAAGTTTTAGGCTAATCAAATCAGAAATACCAGCATAAATATTCTAACTGAATATCTAGAAACAGAGGGACTTCAGTGTCAGTTTCCCTGTGCTGTGTGGATTTTATTTTGTTTCTAATTTACTCTTCCATTGAGTTTATAGCCCTCTGGAGGAGCTTTATTTGAGAGGGAGTGTCTTCAGTTGAGGCTGTCCTGTTCATGCAGACATATGGCTGTGTCTTTTGTGGATATTGGAGCCCCTTAGGTTACTGTGACCAGTGCCTTCCTTCCCCATCCAAAGGCCCTCTCCACGGTTGTGTAAAGAGTTGTAGCATCAGCTGTGTGCTTGCCACATTCTGGTCTGTAGTTCTTTTACTTCCAGTATTGAGAAATCTTCTTTCTTGGGAATACACTTAAAATTTTGTTTTTAAAAATATTTTATCTAGAAGCTTCAAGAAAGGGTTGTAGGTTCTTAGGTTAGCATGTTATCAATATCAACACTTTCAAGTCCATTAAATTTTTTTTAACTTTAAAATTTATTTACGATAGAAAATCAATTCATATTGTTCAAAATTCAAAACATTCAGAAGTTACTCTGTATACAGTCCCCTTCCTCTCTCTATCTTCCTAGGTATCTTGTTTCCTTCTACAGAGGCATCCTGCGTTAACAGACACTTGTGCGTTCTTGCAGGGATCTTTTATGCAAGTATATGAAATACATGTATGTTCATAATTTATTTTTCCAAAAGTTCTAATGAGAACAAATAATTAAAAACCAGTTGCAAGGAAGATGTTACCTTATTCCTCAAGGTTACTCACTGCAGACAGCCCTGAGAAGCTGCCTGAGTAAAGACTGGTCAGGATCTTGCATTTTTAGCATACCCAGCAACATTGCCAGGGAGGCTCAGGGCCCAGCAGATTGCTTCTCCCAGCAGACAGAATTTGTGCCACTTACCAGCTAGTTGCGGCTGAATCTGTTTGGGTATTGACCAGGTTCCATTAGCATCTGGTGGCAGCTCACTCAATGCAGGCAAAGTACCTGAGAGGATTAACTTCTTTTGAATGTTAGCTTGGAAACCTAAAGATACAAAGTAATGATACGAAGGTCATAAGGCAAGAATGATATTTTTATTTAATAGCGTTCTCGTTTTTTGACAGACTAGAAAAATAGCATTTTCCTTGAACACCAGAGTACTCTTTAGTGAATTAAAGAATAAAAAAGAAAAAAATATACATAGATTACTAGATGGCTAACTTAAATATATTTTTGTTTGCCACACACTGAAGTTATATCTGGTGTATTTCTTGTGTTGACTCCAATCTCCTAGGAATTGATAGACTGCTTGGACAGATGTGAAATGTCTTTATCTTATTAGTATCCTTTAATAATTAATTAGTATGTATGAGCATTCTCTCTCTATGCATATGTATAGTAATATATATATATATAACTTCGGGGGAAAGATGTGACAGTCTGCTTCCATAAAGATTTGCAGCCTTAGAAACCCTATGGGGCAGTTTCAGTCTGTCTTATAGAGTTGCTATGGACTCAACGGCAACGGGTTTGGGTTTGGTTTTTTGGATATATTACTTGCTTGATAAAAACACTTGATGGCATTTGACAAGACAGTGGTTAATATATTGACATGAAGCTTTCAACAATGTTTGTACTGTGATTGATTACGTAGGAGTCTAGCGGTACTTGCAGTAAGTATGTAGCCTGGCGCATTTAAATTTTTCAGCTCTCCATCTCCCTTGCTGGCATCACAAGTAAGCAAGAGCATGGTCCTGGTGTCTGCTTTAACGTTGCCCTTTAATTAGAATAGAAAGTTTGAATGCTTTTGAGACAGAAACTAATAACTTTCCCTTCATTTGAAAGCGAATTCTTATGAAAATATTGGAATATGGCATAAAGAATATATAGATTACTAGCATGCCTTCATTGTGGATGTGAGAGTGAATTTTACTAGTATATTAAAAATTTAGAAATGCTAGTTACTGAATTTTTAAGATAAGATTTTTTTTCACGTAATCAAAGTTTAGAGTTTTATCTCTAACTACTTCTTAGTAAATTTAAATTTATTTTGTTTAGCCCAAAACCAAAAACCAAACCTGTTGCCATCGAGTCAATTCCAACCCGTAACAAAGCTGTAGGACACAGTAGAACTGCCCCATAGAGTTTCCAAGGAGCGCCTGGTGGATTCGTACTGCCGACCTTTTGTTCAGCAGCGGAGAATTCTTAACCACTGTGGCACCAGGGCTCCTTTTTCAACCTGTTAGAGTTTATCTTAACTGTGTTTCTAATACATTACATATTAGTTTTGAATTTTCCTGGTTATAGAGTAAAAGAGACCTGGGTTTACTGTGAAACTGGACATGAGACCTTTATGGCCCCTCACCTTTTCATTTCTTCCTCACTGGTGCTGTCCTTTCCTTTGGAGAAAACAATACAAAACAAATAATAAGCAGAATGGCCCTGTGTGCTTTCATTTATGTGGATATATGCAAGTGCTAAAAATGATAGCAGCATCATTGCTGAACCATCTCTTCTGTAACTAGCTGTAAATAGGAATGGTTGGTAGGTTGAGGATAAGATGAAAAATACACAGTGGCAGTGGTTTTTTTTGCAAGTTAGGAGTTAGTGGTATGGCCCAGAGACTTCTAATGCTTGCTCAATCTTTGGAGTTTTCTGCCACTGGGGCTTGAGAAGGTCTGGTCTGAGATCAGATTTGCTTCCCCCCTTTTTTTGCCAATAAACTACTATTGGGGTTGACATCTGCCCTGTTGGAGTTAGAGAAGTTACTGCAAGAGGACATGAAATGGCTATTCTTTATTTCAGAGGTAAAAAATTCAAATGGTCATCATAGTTACCATGGTTATCATATCCCACTCTTTTTAGGGAGGTGATACCTCTTTGTACTGTGACAAATAACATCTTTTTCTTGTAGGATCTGAATTTTGATTTCCTACTATTTGGAAACTGTTAGACATGGCGGAACTAGTATTCATATTGCCTTTAGTAGATATAAACCATATACATACATTAGGCTTTTTGTTATAGGCTGCTAAAATCCATTCATTGAATTTCTTGTCATCCTTCTTTGACTAAAATTATATTGAAATGGCAGTAGTCATATATGTGCAGTAAGTATCTAGCCTGGCGTATTAAAATTTTTCTTTTCAGCTCCATCTCCCTTGTTGGTGTCGCAAGTAAGCAGGAGAATGGTCCTGGTGTCTCCTTTAACGTTGCCCTTTAATTAGAACTGAAAATTTGAATGCTTTTGAGAACAAACTAGTAACTTTTCCCTTCATTTGAAAGTGAATTCTTATGAAAATATTGGACTATGGCATAAAGAATATATGTAGTACTTAAATTTCTGCCCTAATGAAAAAGAAAGGAAAAAAAAAGAAAAAACTTCAGTTATTTCTGTGTTACTTGAAAGTGAGTTTCTTTTTTTTCATTGTAAGTTTGGCTCTTGACTATGTAATGTAGTCTAAAGCTAAAGGAGCTTCCATTTGCTAAAAACTTATTTATCAGGCTGCCAGAAGTTCTGTAACATTAGAGTGGAGGTTAAGCTAGTCAGATATTTGGATTGCAAAGTAGATAATTTTATATTAGGTACTCAGTACATTTTGTCATTTTGCTTTTCTTGACAAAAATATTTTACTTGACAGGAAACCTGATCGTGAGAGAGTGGAGGATTTTGATCACACAAGTCGAGAATCTAACTATTTTGGCCTCTCCCCGGAGGAGCGCAGAGAGAAGCAAGCTATAGAGGAATCTCGTTTACTCTATGAGATTCAGAACAGAGACGAACAGGCTTTCCCTGCCCTTTCCGTATGTATAAAAAAAAGATTTTAAAAGTTACTGTTTAGAAGTCTCAGTATAGTTGCTGTTTTAAATCATAGTTTCTGATGGTAGACAATACTTTTTAAACTGAAAGGTACCTTAAAGATCATGTGTTTCTCCTTTTCACATTTTACAGAAGAAGGAAAAGGCTTAGAGATAGTGCTAGTTGGTGGCAGAGGTGAGGCAAGTGTATGGGTTTACTCACTTCTAGTCTGGTAGTTTCTTTTGAGCCAACGTGTTTATTTTGCTAGCAAAAATAATTGCTATAGTCATGATTCAGAACCCTTTATAAGATACATAAAAATCAGGAAACTTTTTTTTTTTGAACAATAGGACCGTATATATACAACGAGAGCTGTCGTTCAGAGTCTTAGGTAGTGGTAGAGTACCAGATTGGTAGTACAGGTAATCCTGTAATTTTGCCCTTGCTCAACGTGTCGGACACTGGGCTGTGAATAATGTTTCTCTGATGAAAGAAATGTCCCATATCTTCAGGTTTCTTAAGTCATTTGTGGCAGGGAAAACGATTCTCATGTAAAGTGAAGTAAATGCTCTGTGAGGGTTCGTTGACAGCACGGGGAGGGGTACCTAATTCAGTCTGGCAGGTCTGGGAACCCTGTGCATATGATCTTTTAAGTATTGGTGAGTGGTACCCAAATGGTGGCTGGATACTTTTTCTAAAAAGTGTATTAAACAAACAAAATGGAATGTTATTGGAGGCTACCCAAACCAAAAAAAAAAAAAACCCTTTGCTGTTGAGTCAATCCCGACTCATAACAACCCTATAGGTCAGAGTAGAACTGCTCCATAGGGTTTCCAAGGAGCGGCTGGTAGATTTGAACTGCCAACTTTTGGTTAGCAGCCAAGAGCTTAAACACTGCGCCATGAGGAATCTAGGAGGCTACCCAGTGGGTGTAAACTTTAAAGCCCCACACATTCAGTTTTTGTCCTCTTTCCCCTGTAGAATCCCTCAGAGGTCTTAGGAACTCAGTTGAAAACAAATGATCTGGAATTGTAGTTCAGCCTGGCACAGGGAGTGGAGTTTAGGAATTATTATCAGAAGTGCTTAAATCTGTATGTGAATTAGAGATTGTGTGCTGAGTGCATCTCTCTCATGTATGTGTGCTGTTTTCCCATATTATTTATGTATATTTAAAAAAAATGATAAATCTTTTAAAGTGCTTATAGCTTTTTGTCATTTTTTCAGTTAGTGAATGTAAAACTACAACTTCTGTGATGTAGGGATATAATGTGAATTTATGTGAATTTTTTAATTGTTAAAATGGGGTCCTCAACTCATAATTTTTGGATTAGGGAGTTTGATCCTATCTTGGATTTGATAGTGACTCAGGTTTGTCTTCTAGAAAACTCCTGTCCCATAGGGCCATGAGAAACATTTATTCATAGAGCACTGGAAGGGGAAAGGATCCTTCGTGATCATTTAGTTAAAAAACCTGACGTACTCCAGCCTCTGTGTTACACAGATGGGAAAGCTGAATCTTGTGCAGAGCTTCAGTGATTTGCTGACAGTCAGTGCCTTTCAGTGCTGGCTCCTGGTGCGCTGGATCTGCCAGTCTGCACTTAGGCTTTTTCTCCCCCATAGCAGCCTATGGTCCTACAATGGCTTCTTTGGAAGATTAGTATGGAGATGCTATTCTTTGTACAGAAAATGTAGGTGCAAGTTGCAGAGATGAAAGTTTGGTCAGCGTGCCTTCCCGAAATATGACATTTCCCCAGAAGAAGTCTACAACTACTGATTTAGACCAGATTATCTATCTGCTTTGACTCAGTAATGGAGAGTGTGTAATTAAATATGGATCCTAGGTCCTGCCATTCATAGGTTAAAGAAACAGGGCTGTGGATTTTGAGATTTTCAATCAGAGTAAGATGAATTATGTGTATTTTGTATATGTGTTCATATATTTGTGGGTAAATCTTTAACACAAAATGTTGGGTTTTGTTCATTTTAAAGAGCTCTTCAGTCAGTCAGCCAGCTTCTCAGAGTAGCAACCCATGTATCCAGAAAAAGTCATCCCATGTGAAAGGAAGCAGGCAGAGGATGGATACCGAAGAACGAAAAGAGAAAGGTATGTTACTTTGTTATTTGAAAGTCAATGCTAGAGGTCTGTGTGTCTGGTTTAAAATCAAGCATTGAGGGAACTCCTTCTTTTGAAATCATAAAGCAGTTTATCTAATGTCACTCACCTGACTGCTGCAGAGAAACATTGACTCAGACAGAAGGATGTTAAATGTTTATTTTGAAAACTACTATGTGTTGTACTGAGTAAACTTGGCTCAAATAGTACTTTTAGCTTTCTTTGTCGTAAGATTTTGTTCCTCTGTATCCAAACCTGACTGGTGGCTGATGCTGCCCTTTTATCTTGATCTGTTACAGATCCTATCCATGGACATGATCACTTGGATAAGAAATCCGAGCCAAACACATTGGAGGTAAAAGTTTTTAACACTAATTGCATCTTTTCTTTTAACAAGGTGATAGTACAGCAGGAAGAAATGGATGGAGAAGAAGGAGATGCTTTCAACCTTTTAAAATATGTTTTAGGGAAATAGATAAGCAGAGAAAAAAAATTGGGAAAAGATGACAAATTATAACCATTTATTCAAGGTACATGATGATGCCCTATCTGAATTGTTGGAAAGTAGCTTTACTCTTCTTTACTCTATAGGAGACTGAGATTTTTTTAAGGAGTCTTGGTGGCACAATGGTTAAGTGCTCGGCTGCTAACCTGTCAGTAGTTCAAATCCAGCCAGTGGCTCCATGGGAGAAAAGACCCGGCAATCTGTTCCTGTAGAGATTACAGCCTGGGAAACCCTATGGGACAGTTTTTCTCTGTCATATAGGGTCGCTATGAGGAGGAATTGATTCAACAGGAAACAACAACAAAATGCTGTTTTGAAGCCAGGCCTCCAGTAAAAACTGCTCAGTAGTTTGATAACGACAACAATGTACAGGCAGAATTATTTACCTTTTTAAGATTAGAGAAAATTGAGAAGCATGCTCAGTTGTGAGAGGGTTTAGTCTGGTACAGGTAGGGCGAATTATAAAGGAAACCACAATCATCCTGGAACGTGGGTCTTTGAAATACAAAATTAAACCTTTTTTTTCCCTTGATTCCAAAGAATATTGGTGGTGATAAATGTGCAAGAGTTTCATCACCATCAAAGTCAAAGAAATCAGAGTACCCATCTCCTGCAGAACAAGTAAGTGTGGTGGCGTACTTGTCACTGAATGTGCCATTCTCTGGCTTTCTTAGCTCTGTGAACCATCATTTAAAAGCAGAAAACGTCTGCATGTGAAATGGGAGAATTTATTCTAGTACCACCATTGGGGTGCAGTTATGATTTTTCTGTATATTATTCCAGGATGTTCTCAGCTTTTATGGAATGTTATTTTATAATCATCGTTTTCTGGCATAGAAGCCACGCTTCTGAATTGATTTTGAATACGTTTATATTTGTCATAGGGTCGCTGAGTCGGAATCGACTCAGTGGCGGTGAGTTTTGGGTTTTATATTTGTTACCTGGTGTTATCTTTGTAGTGGGTTGGATTGACAATTAGATTTTATAAGGCAAACTGTGAATTTCTGCTTTATTTCAAAACCTTTTTTAGAGTTGTCTCATCCTTAACAATTACTTCATAGAAAGGAGGGAATGTAATGATTAAAGAAATGTGAAAAATACACATCTAAAAAGCAAATCACCGATTTACAACCTGAGTTGTAGCAGAGATTTTGGTTTTTAATCTAATACAGACGAAGAAAAATTTCTTAGCCCTTGCCTTTTAATTAACATTCTTCTTCTTAGCACATCATTTTATGGTAAATACTTTGCGTGAGGAGCTTTTTTAAATAACTCATGAATTTCATGGTGATTTCGTTTATTTTGCTTGGTTACTTTAAAAGCATCGTGTTCAAATTGTTTGAGAGTTTGTTTCTAACTCTGCCAGGGACTCTGTGACTTCTGGAAGGCAACCCTTGGTTAGAAGCATATTTGTTGTGTGGAATTTCTGGCTACTGTGTTTTTATCTTTCATTTCTAAGACCAGAAGGACAATTTATATAGAAATGGCAGTTGTGCAAAAAAACAGACAACTAAAGTTACATTTGACAGGTCAAAATTAATGTTTAAGCACAATGAATTCTTGTGTTTTTTCCCTCCTTCTTGAAGAAGCCGCCAGAACGTGTGTCTTTATCAAATCCAGCTCCCCTTCTAGTTTCTCCAGAGGTACATCTAACTCCTGCGGTGCCTTCTTTACCAGCCACTGTGCCAGCCTGGCCGAGCGAACCTGCAACTTTGGGTGGACCAACAGGTTAGAGAAGAATTCAAAAAAAAACACTCAACCAACAAAAAAACCTTTTAAGTTAGACACTTCAAATTCTTGTGTGAGCAGTTGACTGACCTCAGAGCAGAGTTAGGTGTGTGGAGCCTCACAGAACTATCTGATCTCGGCTTTGCTCTGCTTCCTGTGTGGGAGGGCCAAGTTCATTTGGGTGCACTCATTTGAAGTGTGCCGCCCAAATCCCAGGAGTGTGATGTTTGAGCTGATGATCTCCTGGTTGCTTTGATGGTTCAGCACTAACCAGCACCACAGTTTGACGCTTGTCCCATGGGCCAGCTCTTCATGGCCCCTGATTAAACCCTTTGCCAGGACCCTGTGGTTTAACACATGTTTATAAGAGCTACTATTAGAAGCTATTGACTCAAAGCTTTCTTCCTGGACTTGTTTCATACAGTATTCCAGGAGGGTCCTTGGTTGATACGAAAAGTACTTTCTAGATTGCTCAGGTATATACATTTTTATCAGCTCTATTGATTATACAGCAGTCTTTACTTTTAGCTTGATGGAAACATATTTGTAGAGGTGAATTATTTTTACCTTTTTGCCATTTTTAATTCCTTCACTTCTTTCTTATAGGTGTTCCTGCCCAGATTCCTGTTTTGCCAGTGACACCAACTCTGACCACTGGACCTGATTCTGCTGTGTCACAAGCTCAGTTAACACCCTCCCCAGTTCCTGTTTCAATGCAGGCGGTTAACCAGCCCTTGATGCCTTTGCCTCAGACACTGAGCCTTTACCAGGACCCACTCTATCCTGGGTTTCCTTATAATGAAAAGGGAGATCGAGCCATTGTACCACCCTATTCACTGTGTCACACTGGGGAGGACCTGCCTAAAGGTGAGATCCTCCTCCATGTTTGAATTTATCCAGTAGAATCAGGTTTAGTGAGAAATGAAGAGATGTCATTAGAGGTCAGGTCTCATTGTTAAGTAAGCCGAAGGACTTGCTTGGGAAGTACACCAGAGGTGTGACTGTTAGTCATTTATTCTTTCCTATTCAAAGCTGGTTTTTGGTTTTTGATTAGACAGTATTTTTTATATTTTTAGTAACTGACTCCCCTTATGTCATTTTTTTCTAAAAAACAGACTAAAACCTTTTTGAATTAAGATCTTAATATTATTTCCCTGACCAGATACTTAAACATTATTGAGTTTCCTCATTGGTCTGGATTTTGGAATTACTTCATTACATCATCCATGAGAAATTACAGAGAAGAAAGAATATAATAGAGTAACTCTTATTATAGTACTATACTCAATAATACTTTTTTAAAAAATAATTCTTTTAAATTTACTTTTTTTTTTTAAGGAATTTATTCCTCTTGCCCCAGATTTTAGTTTGTAAAATTTCTTATCTGTAGAAAAACTGAAAGAGGAATGTGGTGACTACCTAGGTGCTCTTCTCCTGGATTTACGTGGGTGATTTTATCTTATTAGTCAGTGATCTGGCGTTTAGGGAGTGAGTCTGTGGGTAACTGGCTAATATCAAATAGATAACATTGGCTAATATCCTGCTAATCTCATCATGTTACTCGTTAGGTTTATGTTGATTTTCTCCTTTCCCCCCAGCATTTTTACTTCATTATTTTTAAAACCCCACAGAAAAGTTGGAAAAGAAATAACAATGAACATGAGTTTCCTTCACCTGGATTCAGTTTTAATCAGATGAAATTCTCAATTTAAGCATTTTTGGGATTTAGATGTTAACATAGAGCATATTGAGCCCGGGATTACCCTGTAGTAATAGCCTACCACCACCTCTCTGTCGGTTGGTCGTCATATGGTGGCCTGCATGTTGCCGCGATGCTGGTAGCCATGCCACCGGTATTTCAAATACCCCTAGGGTCACCCATGGTGGACGGGTTTCAGCAGAGCTTTCAGACTAGGACAGACTAGGAAGAAAGGCCTGGTGAAAATTAGCCAAGGAAAACGTTATGGATCACAGCAGAAGATTGTCCACTATAGTGTTGGGAGATGAGTCCCCTAGGTTGGAAGGCACTCAAAATACACAATCACTACAACAGTGGACCCAAGCATATCAACGACTGCGAAGGTGGCACAGGACCGGGCGGCATTTAGTTCTGTTGTACGTGGGGTTGCCATGAGTCAGAGCTGATTTGATGGCAGCTAACAGCAACAACAGAGTGTTGTTGTTGCTGTATTACTGGTTATATTACAGTTTTAAACTATACATTTTATATTATACCCTAGAGAAAACAATTCCCGTAGGTGAAATTGTCTTTAGAACTATAAGACACCCTCTGTTTGGACATTTTTGTATTATTTGAGGGTAAGGGGAAAAAAGCTTTATGTGTGTATAAGTTTAGTGAGTGAGTATTATTATTTTCAGATAAGAGCGTTCTTCGATTCTTCTTCAATCTTGGCGTGAAGGTAAGTATTTATATTTTATAATTATTTTTCATTAAGTTATTACTGTTTTAAATTACAGTCCCCAACTTACAACAGGGTTCTGTTCCAACGACTGTTGTAAGTTTTTCTGATGTAAGTTGAATACCTCTTTTTTTTTTCCCCATTTTCCTTATTATTGCCTTTTATTATCAATATCTTTATAAATCCAATCTTTATATGTCTAGAGGTTGGAAACATTACATATACACTTACAGCTTCCATATAAGTGCCTCCTGCTTCTCCAGTTACACGCACGTTATGTAAGCAAAAAAAAAAAAAAAAAAAACCAAAAAACAGGTGGTCGTAAGTGCAGTCCATCATAATTTGAACAAGTTGTAAGTCGGTGACTACCTCTGTTCTATCAGTCATAACCGAAGCTTCACTGAATCATCATTTTAAGAACCAGCATTTTCAGTACTGTGTAGTGGTAGTGGAGGCTCTGAGTTTTGTTTGCCCTTCCTATTACATGCCAATGATTCATGCCCGTAAGCATATTCAAGAAATGGCCAGGCCTGAGTTTGAGGTTCTGCTTTGTCACCTTTTAACTGTTTAGCTCTGGACAAGCCGTTTCATATATCTGAGCCTAGATTATTTATGTAATGAGGATAATATTCTTGTACCTGTTTCAGTTATTGAAAGGATCAAAAGAAATAATGTGAAACTATTCCTGCATGAGGAGGTATGGCTGTTCACTTGCAGGACAGCAGTGTCTTTTAGGAAGTAGTCAACTCAAGAAAAGCTTGTCTTGGAATGAGAGGCTGGAGAACTCTGGGCCCTTGTCAGTGCTGTGTTGTCTCCTGTCTGGACCAGTTTCTGTGGGTTTCATACTGTTAAAATATGAAGTGAAATGCCCTACTCTTTCCTACTAGCTGGTTTCATAAAAAGACACTTGACTACTTTCACCATCTGCTGTATTCATTGGCTAGTTTTATATTTATCTAGCTAATGTTGGCTATAGCTAATTGATTAATTGGCCAACCAGCTGATAATGTTTTCATTGTGTTTAGCTGCACCTTGGCAGAAGGATTTGGAGTATTTCAGCATAACTCTTCTTTGTCTAGAAGTGTAACTTAATTCTTGCTATTGGAGTGCTCAGACAGCTCCTAGAATTGAGTCTTAATTGTTGGAGATCTTGAAGGTTTAGGTACTCCTATAAAAAACCCATTGCCATTGAGTCGATCTGACTTGCACCATTTTATTAGTAGAACAGGTCCAGACAAGTTCACTGGCCGATGAGGGGTCACACAGTGAGTCAGTGGCAGAGCCAGAATGCAAATGCAGGTCTTTCTAAACAGCCAGTGATGAAGATCTTCAAAGATACAGGCTAAAGTGCTTGATGGTAGTGGTTTTTGAGATCTGTACTACCTGGAATTATTTCCACAGGATGAAAACATTGACCATAATGATCTGTGCCTGGGTTCATTGGATTATCTCCTGTCAACTTCTGTACCAGAAGATTGGGTTAGTTTCAGGACAGGAACAAGCAACAGAGTCTTAAAGCAGTGACTTAATTTTGTACTGCTGTTTCACTAGTTCCTTTTCATGATCTAGCATTTGGACTGCAGATTATATGGTCTGTGGTCTTTGCCGGCCTGAGAAATTTACCTTGAGTCCAGTAGTTTTACATAGATAGCCACTCTGAACCTCTTTTTTTTTTTTAATCCTCCTTGCTTATGTTGTTTTGTCTCTCTTTTAGGCATATAGTTGTCCTATGTGGGCTCCACATTCTTACCTGTACCCTTTGCACCAGGCCTACCTGGCAGCCTGCAGGATGTACCCAAAGGTTCCTGTCCCTGTGTATCCTCCTAGTCCTTGGTTCCAGGAAGCTCCTTCTACTCAGAATGAAAATGATTGTACCTGTGCAGATGCACACTTTCCTATGCAGACTGAGGCCAGTGTGAACGGTCAAATGCCACCAGCAGAGATTGGACCGCCAACGTTTTCTTCACCTCTGGTTATCCCTCCGTCTCAGGTGTCTGAAAGTCATGGACAGTTGTCTTACCAGCCTGACCTTGAATCTGAGAACCCTGGGCAGCTTCTTCATGCTGAATATGAAGAGTCACTGAGTGGCAAGAATATGTTCCCACAGCCGTCCTTTGGACCGAATCCATTCTTAGGCCCAGTTCCCATTGCACCTCCTTTCTTTCCTCACGTGTGGTATGGGTACCCATTTCAAGGATTCATAGAAAATCCAGTAATGCGGCAGAACATTGTCCTGCCCTCTGATGAGAAAGGAGAATTGGATCTGCCCCTGGAAAATCTGGATCTGTCTAAGGACTGTGGTTCAATGTCAGCAGTGGATGAGTTTCAGGAGGTGGGGGGTGAAGATGGACCCCCTCTCCTGGAAGGAGGTCTGAGCAGTCAGCATGAAGGCCAGGTGGAGCAGTCATCCCAGACACCTCAGGCAGAACCAGCCTTGGCGTCCACCCCTCCTGTAGCAGAGGGAAAGGCTCATCTTCCCACTCAGATTCTAAACAGGGAGAGAGGGGCCGTTGTTGAACTTGAGCCTAAAAGGACCATTCCAAGTCTGAAAGAAAAACCAGAGAAAGTGAAAGATCCCAAGATTGCTCCCGATGTGGTTAGCCCTGGGGCCATCTCAGTGGATAGCAGAGTGCAAAGACCAAAAGAAGAGAGTTCAGAAGACGAAAATGAAGTGTCTAATATTCTGAAAAGCGGCAGATCCAAGCAGTTCTATAATCAGACTTATGGGGGCAGGAAGTACAAAAGTGATTGGGGTTATTCTGGCAGGGGAGGGTTTCAGCATGCGAGAGGTGAGGAGTCCTGGAAAGGGCAGCCAAGCAGAAGCCGGGATGAGGGTTATCAGTACCACCGCAATGTCAGAGGACGCCCGTACAGGGGAGACAGGAGGAGGTCGGGGATGGGAGATGGCCACCGGGGACAACACACCTGATGCGTGTTGCTTGGGTGCCGTAGAGCAGATGCCTGTAGGTGGCGTGTTCCTGAAGGCTTTGTAAAAGATAATGTTAAAATAAAAACCCACGTGGAAACTATCTCCTCCCCTCCCCCTTGCCCCTCACTCCCAGCCTGAACATGAGATTTTGGACATGAGTTCAAAGGGGCAGATGAGTTCCTGGTGTTGCCATCTTTTTTCATTCAATATGTTTGTTTATCAGGTGACTGCCCCCATAGAAAGTAGAAAAATAAGTTTGTTAAAGTATTTTTTATAAACAGCTTAATATAAAACATAGATTTAGTGTTTGGTTTTTTCCTTGTATATGTTTGACTTCAAATGTGGAAATGTGTGCTTTATATAGTGTTTACTGAAGTGACCAGAAAATGTACCATTTGACACACTATAGATTCCAAAACATAACATTGCACCAAATAGAAATGTATATTTTATTATTCAATGCCTTAGTCATAAACTGGGCTCGAACAGTTCTCAGCCTAAAACACTGTTGTCTTTTGAAATGCTTCCAACCCAAAGGCCTTTCATCTCAATATCTGTCAAACTTGAATAATGTCTTCTCTTTAATATTACACATAAGGCAGCCTATTATCCTATGTCTTAGAGATGTTGTATATAGTTCTTTTAATATTCATAGGGGTGTATTTTTGAATTTTGGTGAGTATTTGTTGAACTTGGGATTGCACACAGGAATAGATAGATGTTTAAGAAATAATAGGAAATCCAATGAAATATGGCTGTTCCCACAAGAATTCTTAGCACTGGTGTAAATATCATGGTGCCTACTCGAAAGAAACGTAGATGCTATGCATTTTGAAAATAACCTGCATCTGGTAAAGCTGCAGAAGTTTTTTAATGCCACTTTAACACTAATGCACTGACAGATTCTAAATATTTTGTGAGAAGAAATGTTAAAAATTTTTAGTTGGACAGGTTTTTGTAGAGTTGCTGTGTTTTGTGTTCCTCCTTATACCACTGGTTATATGTGTCACTTTACATTTGCATGTTCAGCTTGTCGCAGGTGGAACTATCGTACAGAAGTGAGATGATTGTGACTTCTAGTTTTTTGCTAGAGGATGCTGCTAGAAACTGGTTTTGCTTTGCATTTTTATAGCTTGTTACGTTAGGTGACATGCCTCTGATCTGCTTCCTTTCTCCAATCTTTGCAGTATTCCTAGTGGTTCCCTTTGCATGTTGCACTCTGTTCTCCTTGGAGATGTGACTGAATTAACACAGTATTCATTCATCTGTGTTATTTTGTAAAAATTGCTGTAGCTTATATTCCTTATTTGTACATATCAGTGTGAAAAACTACCCTTTTTTATGTTAAGATATTACCTTTTGATCAGGAAGCTTGAGTGCTATGCAAATAACATAATAGTAATTTCTCTTTGCATGCCTGTGTAATATACCAAGCCAAAAATAGATTTGCTGGCTTTTTTTTTTTTTTTTTTTTAAAAGCAGATTACTTTAAAAGCAAATACAATTCACTTGAATTTGACAAACTGAAGCAGATGAGTTTTCTGGGTTCTCTGATAACCTACAGCAATGTTTGGATGCCAGCTAGGCTCAGTGAATCTCCACCGTACTGTAATAATGGTTATTTACCTCTGTGCTGTTTTAATTACTTAATGTCTATGTAACTGCTGATTTGAGTAGTGATTAGCATTTAGATGTTTTGTAACATAGAAATTTTAGAGTGCACTTTGAAAGATAACATTTTATTATGATGGTGCTAGGTAAAAATTTGTAAAGACTGGGATGGTTTCGTGGAAAGAAGAAAAGTTCTTGAGAGAACCTATTGTAAGGAATTTCTGTTGTCACCTTGTAAACTAGAACCCTTATTGAAGGTACTCCGTACATCATCTGTTGGTTAACATCAGTGGTTGAATTAAGGAATGAGAATAAGATCAGAGGGTTCTTCATGTTCCTCCCATGCTTTATATAAGTAGGATTAGCTTGATAATTTTAATGAAAATTACATTTAGATATAAATATTAGATTTAAAAGTTCAATATAAGTTTGATCTCAGGAGTCCAAAAAAAAATTGCTGTTTCCAGTACCCTTCATTTCATTGACTGGGATTTGTTCCCAGTTTCTGGAAATGTTTAAAAATTGGATGGGACAGAATACTGTTCGATTCTTTACTGTCATGCTGTCTTACCTCATTTGAGTAACAATATAGCTCCTGAAGGAAACACTGATTTGCTTCCTGTTTCCCATTATCTCACCTCAAGGACTTGATGGTAATAGTGCCCAACGAGCATGTTAATAGAGAGGGTACTTTACTCAGTGACCTCTGGAATAAAAGAACTCTCGAGTTTTGAGAGTAAGTTTGCATGAAGGTCTCTTATTTTTTTCCTTTGGTTTGTTTTTCAGTGTATTAGTCAAGGAGATTTTGCCTTATGCTGAGGTCAAACGAGGACAAATGAACCTTTATTCTCAATTTTTAACTGATAAGAGCAATACCGTATGTTGACATAATACAGTTTCTATATAAAAGAATAGAATTTGAGAATCAATTTCAGAATCATTTGTAGTTTGAGTTGGAAATTATGGAGATTCAGTGGTGATCCATACGCATTTTGAAGAGCAAACATTTAGACTGACCAAAGCTCACCTGGTTCTCTTTCTTTAGTTAGGTGCTTTTGCTGAGCTTGATTCCTGCCCCCTTTCCCTTTAGTATAGTGTGTCTTTCTCTTCATCAAGTTCCTTTCCTGTCAGAGAAATCGATAACTCTTGCCCCATGTGCTCCTTGGCAGCAGGTTACTGACATCTGTGGGGTCCTTGTGCTGCTGCTGGTAACCCATATGCCCGGGTGCATGACCGGCCTAAGATCAGACCTTCCCTTGACCTGGCAGGAGTAGGTTTTCCCAAAGCACTGTGCTGATACTCGATGCAAACTCTGCCTGTACTCTTGCATCCTGTTGTTTGTGACTCCAGGTTGAATTAAAATGCCTGTGAACTGCAAACTTGCTTTGACTGACTTGGTGCAATAAAATTCCTTTTTAACCTTTTCTGGTTTAGAAAACATTCACCCATCCTAGAAACTAGCAATATTTATTTTTGCCTCATTTGTTTTACCAACCATTTTTGATGAGGTAAACTTTTTGCCTTTCACTTATGGGTACTAAGCAAGGTCCATTCTAGTGTGGCTAAAGAATGCACGTTTGGCTACACTGTTTACTGCATTTGGCTCCCTATTTTATGCCTAAAAGCTGTTGTGATTTTGTTCAAAATCTTAATAGTGGCTCAGTTCCAATATGGTAATTTCAAAGAACTAAGATTTTGTTACTAGTGTCAGCTACTTACTCGCCTGCTAATTAGGATTTTTTTTTTTTTTTTAAAGACACTTTTCCCCCCCTAAAGTACAAGTTTTGGAAGATCCTAAAAGAGGGTTGGGTGCATGTCTTAATGCTGAGAAACAGCAACTTTGGGGTTGAATTTACTTGAATGGATTAAAAATTGTTACAGTTAGAAAAAATTTATGTATGAAAAATGATAATAGCCTTACACTGAGTACAAATAATACTTAGAAGCATGTGAAGATGTGATCATTTGTGATGTTACTTGTAAAAAAAGTATATATACATATCTTTTGAAGTGTTGAAAGGAAAATAGTACTTTATATTCTTTATCATATCACTTTTTGTAAGTGTTGAATATATTCCTGTTTATTTTTCTATGTTCTGTTTTGTAGCCTTAAGAAGTGTTTCAAACATATCTGAATGTATAAAATAAGAGTAAATGCCCTACATGGTGTGATGCTGCATTATATATAAAACTGTGTGCGTACATTAAATTTTGTCTCTTGATTCTGCTTGTGATTTCTTTGGTTCCAGGGTTCATATAAAGATGATAGCGAATTGGCCAACCGTATGGTTGAGACCGCCTGAGGAGTTGAATGAAATATGTCAGAACCTTGGCAGCGGGTAGAGTGAGAGGAAGGAGAAAAAAAGGGAAGCATTTATCTGACAGCTGTGTGAGTGCTAACTGGGTTTCCCTGTGGAGTCAGTAGAAGTCAGTGTGGGGAGGGAAGCAAGAGTTGTGTGTAGTTGGTTGGAGCCTTGAATTGGCCACTCCAGAAGTGAATAGGATAAAAGGTGAGACCAAGAGAAGCCTGTGGTTCACAAGATGTCACAATACAGGGTTTCTAGAAAGTTCTCTATAACCAGAAGAACCCTCTTTTTACTTTATTACGGCCTCACTGAAAGGCTTTTTAGGTCCAGGTCTAGGTAATAGTATGAGATGTAAGTAACTATAAAAGAGGAAGTTAATACAGCTTCCCTTCATATACACATGCACCCTGACTATAAGCTGTTACAAAACTATGAATCATACAGCCCTCAGAATAGAATAATAATTTTTTTTAATATTTATTTTTGGTGAAAATACAGCAGATCACACACAACAATTTCTGCATATACGGTTCAGTGACTGGTTACATTCTTCATGTGTCATCATTCTCGTTCTCCCCATACTATTTCACCACCACTGACTGAGACCATCCAATAAACCACTCATTTATGCTTTACAGTTGTCAATTTGGTCTGATATATATAATTCTTTAAAGTGTGCAGTGATCAGGGCAAACATTATTCAGCTAAACAGTTTGAAGATGACTTCAGGGGATAGTTTTGGTTCAAGATTTAAAAATTTTCTCAGGGCAACAGATTCGAGGGTTCTTCCAGCCTGAATGGGTCCAGTAAATCTGGATTCTGTAAAAAATTTAAAATTCTGGTCCACATATTCCTCCCCCCATTTTGATCAGCACTTGATTTGAGTCCTTGATCAAACGTTCAGTGATGGTAGCCTGGTACTATCAGTTCTGGTCTCCTGGCAAAGGAGGCTGTAGTTCATAGAGGCAACTAGACCAACAGTCCATTTCCTTCTCCGACTTCTGGGTCTCCTGCTGGTATAGGTGAATAGAGACCAATTGCTGTATCTTGGATAGCTGCTCACAAGTTTTTAAGACCCCAGATACTATAATATAGTACTTCTTAGGTTAAGTTTCTAAGATAAGCTACAGACATTGCTATAAACATCATGGGTTTTTGGCTTTAGGGGTGAGACATTTGAGGCTTCGCAGTCAGCACTTTTTAAACACACAGCATTCCTGTGAATAATTTTTGCATATTTAGAAAAAAGTATCTGAAAAGATTTCAAAAAAGATCACAAGTGTGGTTCTTATTAGCACTCTACTTCTTGGAATATTCTACTTACTAACAAGTTAACGCCAACAGACTTCTGTGTAGTGAGCGAGTTTTCTTATTTTGAATGAGAACCTTGCCTTTGCACTAGCCACTGTCAGATGGCATAGAAGACAAACCACTGCTATGCACCTAGCTAGGGTTATACTAGTTACCTGTGTAAATTGTGTGCTTCCTACAAATTACTTTCTAAATTAGGAGTAAGAGCATTTAAGTCTTTTATGACTTTGTAAGTTACTTGTAAAAAATTGCCATTTATTTTCTCCCCCAAACACATTATCTTTATTTCACAGGGGAGAAAACTGATGCCAGATGGCAATATGGTGGATTAGAAAAAGTCTTGCTACAAAATACCTAGGATATTAGGTAAAATCTGAAAAGTCTTCAAAATTCATAGTTGAGATAGCAAATTTAGGAAAATGCTTAGGGACCAAAAATACAGACCAGAAACCAGAGGCGAAGGTCTAAAGAGATGCAAAAGCTGCCCTCTATGGGGAGGGACGGATGAAGATGGTTGCCAGTCTCTCATTAACAAAGAACAATGTATATGTGGTAGAAAGGACTTCATTTCAGCTAGTGAAAACTCCATGGATCAAAATGGTCTGACTCTGCAACTGATCATGGGGATGGCACAAGACGAAGCACCATTTCGTTCCTTTATGCACCAGGTCACCATGAGTCAGTGGCTGATTGGAAGGCAGATAACAACCACAAATGTAGATATGGGAGAGTAGCCCTGGGCACATGGAAGGTGTTGGGAGCTAGAACATATTTGCATTAAAGCAAGTATCACCTCTGTGAGGTGAATAATAAAAAAAATTTCTTTTGGCCCAGGCTCCAGCTTATTAAAAGAAAGAAAATCTCCAGAATGTTACATTTGTTTAGGTTTAAGGTGCAGCAATCCCCAAACTGAAAAAGATGAAAAGTGGCTCTAAGTGATAATAAACTTGGGTGATCTAGCACAAGCAAAAGGAAAGTCTGTGTAGGGACAGACCTCAGCCTAGGAGGAATGTTTTTGGTGGCAAGTAGCAGAAAACCAACTTATTTTCGGTAGCTTGAATACTTTTCTTTCATACGAAATCTGGAGTAAGTGGCTGCTGGTAGTTGTGCAGTGTTTGATATCAGGACTAGCATCCTTGCGGCTTTCTTGGCACTTCCCTTATGTGTCACCTCATGGGCACAAAATGCTCTAGATAACCACATTAGCAAGAAGCAATATCGGGTAAGTACTTCTATTAGGGTAGTAAAAGGTTTTCAAAAAAACCCAAATAGACTTCTGCTTTCAACTTACTGGCCCAAACTAAGTCAGGTGGCCTGTGGGAACTAGGGAAGAGGATCATCATGATTATCTTAGACCAATTATGACCGACCATCTGGAGCTGGGTACACTGCCTACCCTAACAAGTTTGCAAGGAATGATGGAAAGGGGTGGTGTCTGCCACACAGCCTCAGAATTCTCAGATAAAACTTCAGTGAACATCAGCTCACAAATGAAAATAATACAAGGAAACAATCCACTGAAAGCAAGAGTCAGCAGTTGCAGTATACAAGTTCAGACCTGCATGAGCAGAGTGGACAGAATATAAACATTCCAAATTAAAAGACAAAAGAGTAAAAGTATAAGATCCTGAACAATAATTCTGCCTAACTTGTCTTGCTTTGTCTCTTTTCTTCAACCCCTACTTCCAAGCATGTAAAAAATGAACAGATCTTAGAGGTATGGAAAGCCCATCAAAATCTAAATTCATCCTTCCCTACCACTAACCTTACCTTGAATGCCCCATACTCATTTCTGCCTCTGACAAGTATTCTGGGCTATCTCATTTATCCTTACAATCCAGTGAGATACCTGCTGTTACTTTTTCCTGGGAGCTACTTCCTCCACATAGCCCTTCCTGACTCTCCAATCCAGAATTAGTCCTCTTTTGAACCAGAGCGTTTACAATATGCCAGACACTGTGTTAAGGGCCTCATATACACATATCTAAATATGTTAATAAACATGAATGAGATAAACAACTGAGTAGATTTTCACTCTTCCTATTTTCTGTGGCATGCGGGTTCATTCCTTCAGTAGAGTAGGCCCACTACATGTGAGGCACCACATAATATGCTGAATGATAAGATACAGGACTGACTTCAAGTAGCTAATGGTCTAAATTTAGGTTACACTGTAGAAATAATAGCTGTAGCATCAATACAGTTAAGACTACACTTCATTAGTGGAACACAAAAACTTACTTTACAACAGTCGATATGTACAATATAAAATTCAAAAGGTACTGTCTACGTGGGCAGACATGTCTCCTTCCCTTTCCTGTTCTTACATCACCAAGTTACCCCTCCCAAAAGCAATGTTTTCTTGAGTATCCTTTTGGGTATTTTAATATTCTTACATAAATGGTAGTTTTATATAAACTGTGCTGCGCCTTACTTGTTTGCTAACTATTTTAGTTTTTTCCTAACCAGGACATAGAGAGCTGTCTCGTTTTTAATAGCTAATTATTTGCACTGATGTGTATTTGAGTTGGCAACACTGATTTTACAGACAAACCTGTTTTTCATGTTAGCAATTGTAGGCCTTTTTGTTACTATATAAAAACTTATGTAACATCTAAATCCATGTTTTAAAATTCCATTTACATGAAAATTACTACCTTATAAATACATATTCTCATTAGAATTGCATAGAAAACTGCTCTGTAACAAGCATTTCTTTAGGACAGAATACGAAATTGGTACATAAAAATAGCTTTTATCTTATTTTATTCAATATATTTGAAATAATCATTCACATATTTAACCTATCCTTAAAAATAGGCACTACTTATTTTGGTATAATCCCATTTATGTACAAAACAAACCCTTTACATATTCACACTTACATAAGTGCACAGAAAAACAGCATGAAAGTATATATATTAAACACTGGTAATCTTTGGAAGGGTAATGTAGACGGAGAGCGTATCTTTTATTCCGTACAGTTTTGTATATATGTATTTTTCACAACACATATTTATGGACTACTCATAAATTATATAAAAAAAGGCCTAATGGGGCCCAATTAAGCTATACTTTATCCATTGTGTTTTAATCAAGGCTTCTGTTGTTTCAAGGAGCTCTAAAAGTTTATTCAAATGATTTCTAATTCTCCCCTCTATTTTGCTTGCCCCATTAATTTATTTAGTAAACCCTGCTTTTTTCACTCATAGTATCAGTTAATTCCAGTGCAGTACATTAGTCAGAAGTATAATTTAAAGTGGTTTCACTCTACAAGTATCCTGGTTTTCAAACTCAGGAACTAAACCGATTTGGGTACGTTTTTAGAACTCTTGCTACATACTATTCAAAACTAAAAAACAAAGTCAAATAGATATAGAAAATACAGTTCTCTATATTCAAACTCAGACTGAATATTGGTACCAAGGGATACTTTGTACTGCTTTCTTGGGACTCTTGTATTAATGTTCCCTTTAGGGAAGTGGTTCACAATCCTTGGCTGCCCGTCAGAAAAATCTGTGTAAGTTTAAAAACACATACATGTTTAGACACCAACTCTAAAGATTTTGAGACTGTAGATCTAGGGTTGTTGTGTGCTGGCGAGTCAATTCCGACTCACAGTGACCCTATATGAGAGTAGAACTGCCCCATGGGGTTTCCTAGGCTGTAATTAAAGAAGCAGATCGCCAGCTCTTTTCTTCTGCGGAGCTACTGGTTGGTTTGAAGTGCTGACCTTTGGGTTAGCAGCCGAGCGCTTAACCACTGCCACCAGGGCTGCTTGTAGGCCTAGGGTGGAACTCTTTCATTTTGTATTATTGAGGACTACTGTTTTTAAGGAAAACAGAAGTTTCTTTAGAAATGTATTTTCCTAAATCTTGATCAGTGAGTACATAAATGTATGATTAAAAAAATATTACCGTTGGGAATAATTAACACAGAATCTTATAGAATTGTAAAACTGAGTAATTCAAAGAGTAAAGTTGTTAGGGTTTTTTTGCTGGGGAGAGGATGTCCTGAAATGATTTTTGATAAATATGTTCAAAAGCAACAAAAAAATACTACAAACAATGCTTAAGTTAGTTAACAAATACCCATTTTCCAACACGGGTGTTTTGTAGTAGATAATCTTCAAGGGAAGATTCTGTACTATATTTTGACAATATAATACAAAGACTTAAAACAAACTATAATCATGATAGATGTTTATTTATCAAATTCCATCAGTGGTGTCTTCAACTGGATTTTAAAATAAGGGCAGTTTTGTTATACTGGTATACTTGGCAAACCATTTAAGTACAGAAAGCATTCTCAAAGATTTTTAAAATATGGCAACACTGGTCAGCATTTGGAACATGAATATATACGCTACAACTATTGAAAATCTTCCCATATATCATGAAAATTTGGAGGCAATTTGTATTACTTGAAATGTCTTCATTTTAGAATGTTGTGCGCAAAAAGGGTCTTGTCATCAAGAACAGAAAAGTGGCATTTTCTGTGTTCAGACTACAAATTACAAAAAAACTGGCTTTTTGCTGTTACATTAAATTATACTTTAAGTTCCAGAGTACGTGGGGCATAAAACCTGATTAGTTTTATACAACAAAAATCCCAGTTTCTTTTAATAAATCACTTATTGATATTCTCAGATTTAGCCTAATCATCCAAGAAAAAGTAGTTTCCACTCTTCTTTTGTTCTACATCCTAAAAAATAGAGAATCAAAAATCAGCAACATCTTCTATATGCAGGGGTAGACTTTTATACAAGATATTACTTGGAGGCGTTTACAAAAGCCTCTGTACAACCACACATATACAATTTTGCTATGTATTTATTATAATACAGTTGCTAGGAAGGCTATTAAATTCCATTTTTATATTTTAAACTTCAAGCACCTGGCCCAAAAGGCAACATACTGTCAGCTTGAGAACTGCCTATTAAAAACAGTGTTTCCCAGTACTGCTTATAGACTACCGTACCATACCTGTTGCCATCAAGTCGATTCCAACTCATAGTGACCTTAGAGGACGGAGTAAAATGTCCCATAGGGCTTCCTAGGAGTGGCTGGTGGTTTCCAACTGCCAACCTTTATTTTTTTTTGAGTGACCAAGAGATTTCTGCTTTCTAAAAACCAAATCCTATTTCAAGGACTACATCAAGTATACCCATAAAACCCACTGCCATCGAGTCGGTTCCGACTCAGGGACCCTTTAAGACAGAATAGAACTGTCCCATATGGTTTCCAAGGCTGTAATCTTCTTTCTCCTGTGTGTCGGAGCTGCTGACCTTTTGGTTAGCAGTCGAGCACTTAGCCACTGCACCACCAGGGCTCTTCACATCAAGTATAGAATGCACAATTATTTTATGTACCACAAAGAAAGAAAAAAACACTGCCAATTAAACAGATGTTTTCTCACTGTTTAGAACTTTAATCTCATTGAAAGAGCTTGTTTAGACTTTTAACTTATTTATTTCAATTATAACTCTTATGTGTGCACAAAAAGTAAAATATAAAAGAAAGAAATTGGTTAAGGTATTCTTAAAAACTTCCATTTCAATGGTGAGTTAGTGTAATCATTTTGAAGACATTGTAAATGGCAATTAGACTCAAGAGAGGCAGTACAACCGTGGCTGCAACTCAGAGATATGAACAACTACAACCGAGTCCATACAGCAATGGCAACTACACAACTGCTGCCTATGAGAGTAAAATATGCCATCAGACATAAACATGAAAAAAATATGAATCTTAGAATGAAACAGAGTAGATAAAGAAACAGCCTTCCAAGTAGAAATATATGATTCAATCGTTTACACTGAGACAGAGCTTATCCATGATTTAAGATAGGTTCTGTACATACCTTAATTGAATTGAGTTTGTTTATTCTTGGCCTATAGTTGTTTGGATCTCTTCTGAATGTAATTTCAAGCTGAGACAAAAATTTATTCATGCCAGCCAAAAGGGTTTGAGGACTAAGAGAAAAAAAAAAAAAAGATTAAATTTTACTCCCCAAATTTAACTATCTTTTGAGATGAAGAGTACTAAAAATCCCTGCTCCCTCTGATTCCCCAAAGTCACCTGGATAACATAATCACTACATATTATAAATCCTATGATCAAAAAGGCTCTGTTTAGACTATATAGTTTGCTTGGCTCTAATTTTTTGGTGTAAAACAGTTTAATCTGTGTTTTTGATCTGAAAAAAGAAACATTTAAGACAGAAGTACTATTTCAGAAAAGCAAAAGATCATTAATTAAAGGTTTATAACAGAATCTCACATCTGACACTTTTAGAGAAGGAATTTGACAGAAAAAGTAATATTTATGTTATAAATTTGGCACCGGAGGAAATGTGTACTTCTGCACCGTGGCTGTCAATGGTTTCACATTGGTTCTTTAGTAATACGAACTTATTTCCTAATTCCCAAGCTAATTCTTAAATCATGCTAAATCACGTGATACATGTGGAACATTTTCAGCATTTTCTAATACAAAGGGAGACTCATTATTTGAGTAAATAAGCTTTATATAAGAAATTTCTCTAACTCTTCAAGAAATTCTCAGTAGTTGATATACAAATTTAAAATGAAAACAAAGAAATGTGGGAAGAAGCCCAGTACAGCTGATTCTCCTTATTTGTAGATGTTATGTTCTATAGTCGAGGGGAAGGCTGATTAACCAATGGTGAAGCAGCCTTGCCCTACCTCAGCTGGGAACGTGCCCTGCAGCTCTGCACATGTGTCTGCGAGTAGTACTGATTTGGGGGTTACTAAGGCTGTGATCTTTACAGAAGCAGACTGCCACATCCTTCTCCCTCAGAGCGGTTTGTGAGTTTGAACCACTGACCTTTCAGTTAGTAGTCAATAGCTTAATCATTGCACCACCAGGGCTCCTTAAACATGTTGAAACCACATTTTATAAATCAAAATGAATATCAGTAATTTCATGTTTCAATCTAATACAAGATTTTAGCATTACAAGTGTAAGAAACTTCCATATACTGATTTGAATGTTAAGCTTCTCTATATTATGTTGCTGTTAGTTGCCACCGAGTTGATTCTGACTCATGGCAGAGCAAGGAGAACTGCCCCCTAGGGCCTTCAGGGTTGTGACTTTTCGGAAGCAGATCACCAGGCCTGTCTTGTGAGCACCTCTGGGTGGGTCCGAACCACCAAGCTTCTGTTTAGCAGTCAAGCACTTAACCATATGTACCACCCAGAAACTACTCTATATCATAAGTGCTCCAAAGTAGGCCAATAAAGGACAAACAAGAAGAAAAATGAAAAGGAAAAATAATTTATATAATTATGCGAGATCATTATCAGATATTTGGGATCAACTCTGAGTTCTACCGCTCAGTGTAATTTGGGCAAATCATGTAACCTCTTTGGGTCTTGTTTTCTGTCATATCCCAAATCAATGGTTTTCAAGGAACTGTCTGTGAAAACAAAATCATCTTATTTGGAAATCCAAATAATGAAGCAGATAAAAATTACACTAAAAGAAAACGTGAGGGGCCCAGAGCTCTGCATGCTTATTCTGCTGGGCCAGGGATTCTATACTAGAGTAAGTCTGAACACTGCTACTCTACATGGTCCCGTCTAGTATTCAGTATGAACAACCGTGGGAGTCACAGAATCACGCCTAGAACTTGGGGCTAACGCTTTCCTTTCCTTCAAATTAAACTGGTATTACTTTAATACTTACACATTTACTGGACAATATTAAACGTAATAATTTTCTATTTATTAGAACTTATAATTGGCTTTGAAAGTTTATAAAAATAATTTTACCTGTTTGCAACTGTGTTCTTAGATGGAATACCATCAAAAACAATGACCCGATCTGCTAGATAGGTAGCCATGATGAAGTCATGTTCCACAACAAAGGCTGTTTTTTTGGCATGGAGTATAAAACTAAAATAAAACAATTTTAAAATTTTTTATAAATAGTATTATATCATAAAACATTCAAATATTATATGAAGCATACCTGAATGCCACTACACATACTCAAAGTAATACTCTTATGGGCAAGACATTTACCGTTTAACGACTCTCGCTGCCATCAGTCTTTGCTCAGAATCCAAATATGCAGATGGTTCATCAATTAAATAGACATCAGCAGGTTTGCCCAAACAAAGAGCTAAGGCTACTCGCTGCAGTTCACCACCAGATAATGTCTGTACCTATTTGGAGAAGTTTAGTGAGCCAGGAGGAAACATCAAAGTTTAAAAAGCAAAAATAATTACTTTAAAGTACCTCTTGATCAATGATGTTTTCAATCTGTAGAGGCTTCATTACATCAGTCACAAATTGTGGATGAGTGTAAGCATCTCTTATTTTTTCATGTAGTAATTGGCGAACACTTCCCTGTTTTTAATGGAAAACATTTAAATGATAAAATTTCAGTACAGACCCCTTTTACTTACGAGTCTTAATGAAGTTAAACTCCAGAGCAAAAGTCTATCATAATTTGCCACCAACAGATATTGACAGTATTTTTATGCTCAGCCATCAAGTTATCTATGGCATGTTTTGAGATTTTCTATTCAAAATCCGTCATGTCCAACAAATATAAAAACAATAATAATCTTAAATTTGGAAGTAGTAAGCAAATGATGAATATTTCAGGGGTAAATCATTACAAAGTAGGAATGATTCTGAAGGCCAAAGTGGAAATCAAGTAACCTAATGCAATCAGTAATAGAGAAAAAAAAAAAAGTGCAGGTTAAACTGCTAAGGATGAATCTTAAGATGCCTTTTGCTTGTCATTCAGGAGAGGGCTGAGTCTGAGAACAAAGCTTTTAGAAAGTATCAATGACACAATTTTTTTGTAATTTTATTATAAGCTAAGCCTTCTGCAAAAGACCTCTTTAAAGTGTTAAAAAGCAAAGATGTCACTTTGAGGACTAAGGTGTGCCTGACCCAAGCCATGGTATTTTCAATCGCCTCATATGCACGTGAGAGCTAGACAATGAATAAGGAAGACTGAAGAACTGATGCCTTTGAATTACGGTGTTGGCAAAGAATACTGAATACACCATGGACTGCCAGAGGAACGAATAAATCTGTCTTGGAAGAAGTACAGACAGAATGCTCCTTAGAAGCGAGGATGGTGAGACTCTGTCTCACATACTTTGGACATGTTATCAGGAGGGACCA